AGATGATTCATAGGGTGACCAGACATCCCGTTTTGGCCGGGACAGTCCCGTTTTTGAGGCCCGCTTTTGCCGTCTCGTCTTTTTGTCCCAATAATGAATCATGTCCCGTTTTCGTAGAAGTGCATAGTTTCGAAAATGGCACTAAGCGAGTTGAAGCAAATCGAAAATATGCCTACTCGTTACAAGCATATTCTACAAAAATAACCGTAGGTACTTTAAAATATTTACCCAGAGAGAAAATTTTAGAACTGTTCTTGCCCACAAACACTTTTTCTCTCGCGAAGACGCGTGTATATATATATATATTTCTAAACACGGATCTGCGCGAGAAAAAAAAGTGTTTGTGGGCAAGAACAGTCCTAAATTTTTCTCTCTGCGTAAGTATTTATATTAGGTACCGGATGTAGAATCTCGCCTGGCTACACTTCACTCTTTCGAAAATGTCGACGAAACGTACGTGTGTGTTCACTGTTCACCAATGGACCCTTGTCAAGAAAAGCATTGAAAATAAACTAGAAGAGGAACTCTTCAGGTCTCTCAGAGATGGGTGCAAGTCTTTAAAGATATGAAAACAGAATGCATGCTGGCGCCGAGATTTCACGGGTCGTGGAAATGGCTCTGTGATACTCTGGAAGCACGTCTCCAGTGGAGCGCGTCTTTTCAATTATGAACTCCATGTGAATATGCGAGACGCTTCGCCTTCTTGTCTCACCATTGCGAGCAATGCTACTTGTGCGGTTGAACTTCCCACAAAAGTGCGCATATTTTTACAACCGAGTTTTGCAGGATAAAGTCCTGCTTAGAAAACTTCCGTCGTTGGCAAATTACGCCCACACCTACGAAGGACCCGAAACAGGACCTTCCAAATGAGTGCATGCAACTGAAGTGTGAGTGTGACTGTTTCCTAGGGCTTAGTGCAATGCGAACGTTATGAAATAAGACAAGTTCTTTCATTAAACATTTCTGCCTAACTCAAGCTTTAGTACGCCCATCCTCCTCCCCTCCCCCCCCCCCCCCCCCCCCCTCCCCCCCCCCCCCCCACCCCCCTTTCCCGCCAACACGGCTGAGATGTCCCGTTTTCTGCGTTGAGGAATATGGTCACCCTAAAGATGAAGCAAGATGACAGAGACACCGGCAGGTGGGCATACAATTCAGTCACAGCCGAAAGACCGCGAAAAGGATGCTTATTGTTTCGCTAAGCGCCACCGACGGCTGCCTAACGCAGTTATCGCTTAAACCCATAATGGTATACGCCTCAAGCACTTCACGTGTTTGTTTTTATTTGTTGACTGTTCCCCGTAGATCATGTCAGCCCCAAGGGACAACGAGGGCGCCCCGGCGGCCGGCGCGTCCCAAGGAAGCCGAAAAAGGCGATGCACCTGGAAGCTCTCCTTGGACTTGACCTCCACCTGTCATTGTCAAGCCGCCCATCGACGGGCGCCAGGAGGTCAATAAAACCGGCGGCCGACGGGACGAGTTATGAAAACCACACAAGTGACAAAATTTCAAAATTATGCTAATAAAAAAATATCTGGCTCACTTTTCAAAAAAAAAATTTTTTTTTTTTCAGGACGTTTTGAACGCGATAGCCTACTTTGAAGCCGTTTCTATGCCAAGCCATAAAAAATTCAACATGACGCGATGACGCCTTTCTATTTGTGTAGGGTGGTTGTCGTGCGACCGCTTCGGGGTCGTGCTGGAGCCAGGCTCCCGAGCATCACTCCCGGTCTTTGAGCAAACCGTTACCGTGCTCCGCGTACCGCACTATCGAAGCCTTTGAAGCATGCGGCGCGCGGAACACGGTAACGGTTTGCTAAAAACCGCTAAAGTAGTACACGCCTACGATGTGCGATTTTGCTTTCAGCTGAATAAGGTGCGCAGTCGTGTGTGTGTTCGTTGTTCTTTTGTTTCGAGACGTCTAGCCGTCCAGTAAGGAATCGAGAGCTGCGACCGAAATGTTTCGAGGCATATTTATTGCACACATGCTAAAACGAATGAAGTACAGCACTGCATCTCCATACGCGCAAAAAGAAAACATTGACAAAGTCACTTCGTTACCCTCGCCCACAAGCTGTAGTTATAGATCGCCAGCACCTCTCTCATCTGTGTACGATCTCATAACTTCATTATTACATGCCGCGCCGCACGCCTTCTTCGGAATGGGCTTTATCACTAATTTTATCACATTATAACTTCTTGGGAATTATCATATATACAAGTGTACACATTGACCAACATAATTACGCATTCAACATGCCATAGATCAGCTGTTCACTGAAAGTAAAGTTGTTCGCTGATAAGCCACTAGGTAGCCTCCAGGAATCATTAGCTTCATTTTTACATGTTCAAAGCTTCTCACGCAAGCTATATAAAAAAGGTGGCTTCTCACGCAAGCAATCAAAGTGGCTTGATTCCACCTAATCGCTTTCCACATTTTGAGGTGCAACTGAACGCAAGCGCTCGTAGCTTCTATACTCTGTTTCACCTTATGATGTACCGCAGAAAAGGCTACAAGCGCGAGCTCCTTGCTCTAGTGCACATCAAGGCGGCACAAGCTCTCTAGCCTAGATCCGTATGTGTATCAGCCGTCTGCCTTGTCTTCGTCGTCCGCAACAAGTAACAGAGCTTGTTGACGAAACGATCTTACAACAGAAAAGGTGCGTACAACAAAACCCAAGAAGAAATCCGTATTCACGAATCAAAGTTTTCCTAAGTTTCGCGCAAGTTACGATGAATTCCTACGACAGCTCCAGAGCTGTATGTTATTTTTACGATCAAATCCACATGACAGGCAACATCGCTCGCTTTTGTCGTCGCGACGACCGACGGACATTTCCACATGCCCTCTGAGCGCATTCCGAAATCCAAAAAAAAAAAAAAAAGCATGTTACTTTTTAATTGAAACACTGCAACAGCGCAGGTGCGACGTCGGAGCCGCTAAGGTGTCAATTTGGAGCAGATGGACTGAATGAACGGTAAAGGTGCAAGCGCGCACTACAGTCCGCATAGACGAAAATTTCATAGCGTTCACTAGTACTCTTTTACGGTAATTGAAGAACACATCGAAAATCGCGAGAAGTTTGAAATCCAGGGAATTACGAAACTGCACGTGTGCATGAACGGTTCGTTCCCTGTCGTTGGTGTGGCTGCTTAAACCTCTTATGCAAAATATTACAGCGAGGCTGTTTATGGCTAGGGTTCCCTGGATTTTTCATGTGCGTGACCAAAAACTACGCTCGCACCGCACCCACACGCCGCACTAGCCGGCGTCTGCAGCAGTAACTGTTTTAAAGCAAAAGCCTAAAACAATTGGCACCTTGCACGTGCGTTCGTCAACGCGTTATTAGGGAGTTGTAGTAGATCGTTTTTCTCCTCCGTTACCGCTTCTGTAAAGAAAACGCCTTCAAAACCCTTGGAGTAGTCTTCATGGAACGCATGACTTGGGAAGAACACACAAACTACGTCGTATCGAAACTACAGAGTAATATCGTAGGTTTAACTTATATGCATCGACAAATTTTACCTACTAGAGTTAAACTTCTCAAACATAACACATTATTTTATTCGCTTATAATTTACTGTCATCTAGTATGGGGAAACAGAACCCGCCAAAATTTGCAGATTTACTTATTGCAGAAGAAAATTCCAAGAAATATAGATAATGTTACGTATGATCATCCTTCTTTACCACTTTTTCAAAAACATGGCATAATGAACATACATAACATATATGTATTTCGTTTAGGTATAACTATAAACAGGAAGCAAAAAAAGACCAACCAAACAAACACAAATCTTCTTACTCAGTTTACTTGCTTATGTAAAAGAACAATCGCATATCCCACACGTAGCATCGACATGTGGAGCATTTATTCGTGTAAAACATATATGGGGAGCAAATGATAAAATCGATAAAATGCAAACTCCCAGAATTGCTAAATTTCTTTAATAATTACGATATACAACTAGAATATTTGAAGTGTTTTTCTTTTTTTTAACAAGAGTATGAAGTAATGACTATCGAAGGGTTACGATTGTGGGGGGAAAAAAAGAAGGCTTGTTGGTATGATTTATAGTGTTTCTTTCTGCGCGATGTGCTGTACTGTCCGACATTTTGTTTTCCACATTGTATTATTTCTGGGGAAAAGGGAGCTCATCAAGCTGATTTATTCAGCTTTTTCCCCCCAACCTACCACATTGCTCGGATGAAAAATAAAGGCATTTTTATAGTCACCTTCGATTAGCGCTTCGGTGTCTTGCGAGCTTCGAACATGCACTTGCAGCAAAAGCATGGCAGAAAGCAACGAGCTTGAGTTGGAGGCCGCAGCTCCGCAAGAGGTACCTGCCGTTCCAATTCTGCCAGCGACTATGAATTTGCACATCTACCATGACAGGTCAACCTTCATTCGGTAGTTCAGTGAAAGGTTGGCGATCATACTTAGCGTAAAACAATACACAGCAAGTCGAGCATTTTACTGCATCACACCACCACATTTTTTGGCCAAACGTCATATTTCTATTAACACATACTGTAAGCGACTTCGACAATTTTCGCGAGGACCTAATTTATGCGAATTTCGCAAATAGCCTACAATTCGTGGAAGATAGGTCCCGCAAACAATTCCAGTAAAATGTAAACACAGTAGAATCTATATTGAGATTCCACCGCGTCGCAAAAATTAGGACACGCAAATTATACCAAAAACTTCAACTTTGACCTAAATCGCGGAATTTTGAGCCCGCGAAAAATAAGCCGTTTACAGTATTCATTTGTTACATCCCTCATGAATGTAAAGAATTTGGTGAGTACAACTTAGTCAAAGTAAACTGTTAAATGCTCCCTTTAATTAATTTGTACCAACATGCTTTCTCACATGCTCTAACCATAGCCTAGAAATACCTCTAAACAAGAAATAAAATAAAATATATAGTGGAGAAGAAAAGCTTTTTTACTCCAGTTTTGACCTGGCAGAGATGAGATGACACCAATTCCAGGCAAATTGCAGAGGATGACACTTCAATTTTATTAACAGGTTCTCCCCTCGATGATGCGATGCAGAAACGGCTGGTGAAGTCTTATGTACACGAGGCGGCTGAGCAGTCCACAGAGTTCCGTAGGCGTTAATCACTTCTTCTGGTTGACTGCCACCAGGGGTGGCCTCATGGGGCCAGGTCCCATGGGCCCCATCATAGGCCCCATGGGGCCCATCGGTGGTCGCATGCCTGAAATCGGAGGACAGACAATCAGCACAGATCGGACACAACAAACGCGAGAAAAGTATGAAGGGTGCTATTAATTTTTCAACCTCCGATGAAAAGGGCACAAAAGAAAAAAGTGATGAACAATCTTTTAATTGTTTGTTTAGGGTACGATGTGCAGCAGTCACCATATTCCTGAGGTCACCCAGATGAAGGTGTCGGTAAAAAAAAAAAAAAAGAAACAACAACAAAGTTTGAGCTTTTGTAAGAGGAAAGACGACTAGACCTTTAAAGAGATACTGTGTTTCCCATACGGGAGGCATCATTGCTCTCCGCTTTAGTGACGATGCCTCCCGCACGAGAGGCGAAAAGGTAAGCCGTTTTTCTCATTACTTATGTCACGTCAAATCGGTGCCTAGAAACTGAAGCTTTCACGAACAATGGCAGCAGTAGTACGATACACATAGACTAATGCAACCTAAGATCCGCACTAGATCTCCATCCTTGATAGCACTTCTGCGTTGGCTACAAGCGACCTTGTAAGGACCTTTGCGTCCGGATAGATGCAAAGGTCCTTGCACTTGGAGTGTACATAAACTCATAAGGATGTGATGGAGGCAGCAGCTTTTCCTGGTGATCTTATTTTACAAGAGAAGCTACTGCTTCCATATAGTCCCATACTTTCTGGTTTATAAGTTGTGGTTTTTTCAAACACCTTTCTTGGTGCATTTTATACAACAATGCGACTTGTGTTTTTTTTAGATGCGGAGCATCTCTTGCTCGGGCTATGTCCCGCGGCGTCGTAGTCCGCACTCACACTACGCATGCGCAACTCTCCTTGCTGCGCGTGCGTTCTCTCTCTCTCCAATAGCTGCGCTAAGTGCACGCAGCTACCAGCTGCGTGCACTTCGCGTGCGTTCGCTTCTACTCACACTGCGCGCGCAGGCGCAACTCTTGTCCTCTGGTTTCTTCTTCTTCAAGTTTGAATATAAGCAGCGGTAGCGCGCTGCGCGCGTTCAAGGGAAGGAAGTGGCCAAATGGGCAAACGCGTCTCAGCTCGGAGCGTGGAGCGAAAGCTTGCGGTGGGAACCTCCTGGGTTCGAGTCCCCGCCACCCCCGCCCGTTTCGATCTGGATGAGTTTCGTACCGGCACGCGTTCGCGTGATGACTACTGCGTGATGCATGTTAAGAATCCCAGGTTAGCGGTTGTACTGCACTGGCTAAATTTCTCATCTACAGCTAAGAGACTGATTACCCGTTGAGGCGCATCTCCATCAAGGCTGTATAAACATAAAGAGCAAACCAATTTCTGCGCGCGTTCAGTTCACCGCTGTTGACTCCACTTCACTTCGTTCTTCCGATGAAGTGTGATGGAACGATGCTCCGCATCACCCCATGGTTCTAATCGGGAAGATGGTGTAATTTTTTTTGTTTTGTCCACGGTGCGGCGTCATTTTTTTATGCGCCGCTTGCCGTCTCTTGTATACCACCGTAACTATGTAGTCCTAGGTGCTGTTGTCCCTTCCAGAAGGCACTGTTGTTGCCATACTTTTACGGTTTCCCCGAAGAGGCTCAATGTGGGTAGGCCAGACAGTGAGAATAAAGCTTTTACAGGTTGTGAAAGACTCTGCCCAATTCAACCTTCGTTCTGTGTTCTTTTGCCTCAGTCTGGTAACACTGAAAGGTAAGTGGACTGGTATACACACATCGCAGAACATTTTCTCGCATCTTTCATAGTTTTTGTTTGATGAGCAGTTTTTACCTGCCATGCTCCAACCGTGTCGCTACATGTAAAAGGAGAGATTGCGGCCAGCTGATCCATTACCAAAAGAAGTGTGTAGAGATTTACCAATCTGCCTGCATGTTGATGCTCGTGCCGTGCCCGTGACTTGGCCTAGGCTAGGCCTAGTGGTTCGAAGCTTGGTTCACGATAGTCTGTCAGGTTAAACTTTTGTTCGCTCAGCATGAGCAATCAAATAAAGCAGACTACCTTTTTGATTTTGCGCGTTTTACGTCCTTTTGCTGCGAAACATTAGACTGCCCTCGGCAGGCAGTGCTGTGCTTTGGACATTTGACGCAAGCCGAAACGTCAAAGTTGTTCCGCGTCAAATGGTATGTGTGAACAAGCTACCAATTGTGCAAAGCTCCAATTTCGCTATACCAATGTGCGTAAGAAAAAAAACAAAAAAAAACTGTTATAGCGTGTTAAGAGGTCCGACTTATATATAAACTTTTCCACAATGACAGCTCAATATAAGACAGTGAGACTTATAGTCCGGAAAGTATGGTACAGATATTTAATCTGGTGTAAAGACTTCTCTTTGTAAAGTGACTTTACTACCTGCATTTTGTGCTACGCAAGCGGCAGCAAACGTTACATTGTGAAACTATCGAAGTTGTGGAGTGAGGGCCTGCAACGAGCATTTGGAGGTGCGAACAGGCATCTTAATGAACATGTTTCGGAGCAGGAAAAAAGGAATCACCTGGCATCATCATGTTGGGGGGCATGGGTCCTGGGTGTCCCATCATGGGCATGGGTCCGGGCATGGGGCCCGGCATGGGCCCCGGCATCGGGCCCATGTGGGGGGGACCGACCAAAGGCATGCGCTGGGGAGGCCCCGCTGCACGTACAAGGAAGCAGTGAGCGACATCGTTCCGTGCGACTACAACCGTCGCAAGACCGGGGACGCCGCAGCATTAGAGAACCAGAGTGAAGAAAATTGAACACACGTGCACCGAAAGGGAACGAAAAGACACCCGGCATTTCGGCCGGATCTTCAGCTGGAGAGAAACAAGAAACACTTTTCACTTCTTCGTGCCAACCGTCAAACAGGACCACGGCCATAACAAATGGCACATTCTGTTAAGTGGAGGGCAATTTCATTTACATCATTTTCCAGTTTGTTTATATTGCAAATAAGTAAGGCCATGTTGTCCTCCCAATATAAAACAGGCTAAGGTTCTATAGTCAATTACAGGTCAAGAAGGTAGGAGAAGCTCCTCCCACAAGCGTGATGCGCCCGTTTCAAATCCCTCTGCAGTCGAAAGAAGAGTTAACTGGAAACGCTCCTTGTTCCGCTTCAATGGGTAGATACTGGCTACAGAGTGATGCCAACTTGTCTCCAATCCCACTTTTTAAGAAAGCAATTTTTGCATTCATCGGAGGGGGAACGGAGCCTCTGAAAGCAGCCTTTATATTTATCGGAGGGGGAACCTCATCCCCCAAAGTCGTATTTGTTTCCATAGGAGGGGCAAAACTCTAATCTCCCTCTCGTGGCTTCAACAATGCTCAGTCAAAGTCAAAAGATAAGGCAAATATGTACAGAAAGGCAAGACCCTCCTTGCACGTTGGCCGCGACGTCAGGAAAACGATGGGACGTTATTGGATGCGGAGGTGGCGGAGGGATATACGATTCCCTTTGAGGGGCATTTGCCGCTACCTTCTTAACCTGTAACTTACTATAGCTCTGCATTACTATGCTCAAAATGGAAGAGAATACGTAGGTCGAACCTGTTCACAGGCTCATCTGCCAACCTCTATTTTGATAGCAGTTACGAGAAATCTGGGAGTCTGGGGTTCCAGCTATCTATACATCATTTCACAATGAATTGGCAGTGAAACCAGGGCTATAAGCAAACACGTTGCCTTGAAATACCTCCTGGATGCACACGTAGAAGAGAACTTCCTCTAGAGCTGCAGTGCATGCCACTTCTAAGTTAATTTGAGTATCAGGTGCAGCTATTGGCACAGGCACTCAGACACAGCAGAATGTGTTTTCAGAGCCACCTCCTCATGCCAGAAGCAACCACCAAGAATGTTGCACCCAGATGCCCACAAAAGTTTCAAATGATGCCTAGAGAGTTTAAGAGGACGGCCGAGAACTTCTTTGCTGATGACGATGCGGCATTGCCAGAATCTATCCGTACACCTCAAAGTGAGCGCAGACCTATGATCATGCTTAAAACACATTGACAAGGTACTGACGTTGCAAAGCAGCAGGTGGGGGAATCATGGCTCCTGAAATTGGCTTGTTCTGGTACTGGCTTGACTGGATCTTCCCGGCCTTAAAAGCAGCCGCTGCAGGAAAAAAGAAGACGCTCAAAAAGGGCAATTTGAATTCGACGGCACTACCCAAAGCCTTCGTTCAAGAGTTCTAATGCGTCCAAGGGTAGGGGATCATCGAGCCGCAGGAACTAGCATTGATACTGGTAGGAAATAGCCATTGACTCAGAGTGTTGTATTTTGTTTAGTCAGCCTCGGCTTTAGGTGCTACTATCCTGTAACCCAACTCGGGGTGAAAGAGAGAAAAAATAAATCTGTGAAGAGATTGGCATATCATATGATATGCCAATCATATGATATGCCGATTAAACAACTATGGTCATATGACCATAATTGTTTAATAGAAGTTTAGGGAGTTAGGAGAGATCAAAGAATGAAGTGCATCTCGCTCAGACACAATGACACATTGGGTGCTCCAGAAAAGAGATGAAAAAAAAGGGCATTTTTGAGACTTACTTGTGGCATCTATGAGGTTTTGTGCTTGCTCCTCCATCCATTTTTGGTAATAGAATTTGACGTTTTCTTTATGTTTCCGTCCATTGCAATGCGTTTTACGCACCGATGGCTGCAAAGAAACGAGAATATGGTCGACATGAGCTCAGGGCAGGGTTGCGATTCGAATCTATGCGGACTTTTATCGGACTTCAAAGAGTAACCTCCAATACGGCTGGAAATATGCAAGCCATGTGAAGAAAAAAAATATGCAGACTACTTGGTATGTGAGATACGAAAAAAGAATAAGGGTTTTCTGCTCCATGCTACCACTTCTCTACATGGCTTCTATGCATGCACCTAAATGTATCACTTGTTGAGGTTCCCCCGATTGTAAAGTGTAGAGACGGTGAACAATATGATTTGGAAAAAAGTAATGCTCGTTTTGAGGACAGAGATTTAGCACTTGAGGGATGTTTGCCCCCAATACTAACACTAATTTAAATCCCACCTTTAACAACCTATTATTAACATAAAGACACCGACTTTACATAACATAGAAAACAATTTCACTAAAACGTTTCGTGTACGCTTCAGAGAGAGGGCCACTATTTCTGTTGCACGATAACGTGTCCCTTCAGATTAACCCCGATTCTAGCAGCTTTTGGTGAGCCCACATCTCCTAGGTCGTAGCGGCTATGAAGTCAAAAGAATGACCCATTGTGTAAGTAGTGTCCACAAGTTAAATTTTCAGGCGAGTCGCACTCTATGCATAGGTGAAGTCACCTATGCATCGCATGCGACTCGCCTGAAACCTGAACTTGTGGACACTACTTGGACATTGGGTCATTCTCTTGACTTCACGGCCAGAACGACCTAGGAGAGCTGGGGTCACTGAAAGTTGCTAGAATCATGATTAATCCAAAAAGACACGTCACTATGCAACAAAAATTGCGACTCTTTCCCCGAAACATACAAGAACTTTTTGATAAATAGAGCTGTGTCGAGATTAACTCTAGCACTGATGCTGTACCTACTGAAGATGCCTCCCGCATGGGAGGCAGAACGTTTATAGAAATTGTTTTTTTTTTTTGTTATGTAAAGTCGGTGTTTCTATCTTAATTGCGACGTCTCCCACCTTTTGGAGTAATTTTGCATTTACTTCACTAACCTCCTCGCCAATGCTTATATATCCTTTGTATTTTCCTGAAAATACATGTTTACAACCTAAAATGTTAGGAGGTGCAAGCTATGCAAGGATTTGTTTTCCCAATGTTTTCTCACAAAACATGACAGATTATGTGAATGACACATGTAAATGGTAACTTCTGGATGATACAACTTTTTTTCTGCATTAATAAGGAAACTTATTTTTCAATGTGTTGTAAATGATAAATTTTTATGAGCAGAGTAAGCACCAGATGTAAACTACCTGTAAAATTTTTTTTTTCTTCTTTTCAGCCGTAATTTGTTTTTGCCGTTTATAATCGAGAAAATACGGTGGCCGATTTAAACGCGGCGTTCTGGAGATGTGTACGCGACACTTCGCCAATCTGAGGCTGGCACTCGATCTACAGGGTGATTCAAGGAGAGGCCAGGCTCTTTAAATCAACCGCAAAATTTGGTTTCTTAACCTATCATGCTACGACTTTGAGCAGCGTTGCCCACAAATGGTGCATTTTTTTTTTTTTGTAAAATTTGGAAAGGGCGAATTTATCTGGGGAAAAAGTAAAGAAAGAAAAAGGCTTAGCTCCTATGGAAACGCAGCGACGCCACCGGTCTTCAAACAACACGGCACCGTTACGCACGGGAGACAAGAGATGGCGCAACGAACGCCGCCAACGAACGAGCATACGGCGCTGAGCCGCCGTTTTTAGCAGACAACCTTTTTGACTCAAATGCAGCGCGCATTCCGCAGGCGGCGACAGTCGCAGAAACAAAAACAGGCGCGGTAACAACAAGGAACTGCAGTTCCTTGTCTGCTAAAGAAGCCTGCTCTCGGCGTCGTATGCTTGTTCACTGGCTGCAGTTGGCGTCGCGACCGCTTGCGCCATCTCTTATCTCCTGTGCGAAACGGCGCCATGTTGTTTGAAGACCTGTGGCTTCGCTGCATTTCTATAGGAGCTAAGCCTTTTTCTTTCTTGACTTTTTCCTCAGGTAAATTCGCTCTTTGCAAATTATTAAAAAAAAAAACACAATTTGTGGGCAACGCTGCAGGAAGTCGTAGCGCAATAGGTTAAGAAACCAAATTTTGAGGGTCGATTTAAAGAGCCTGGCGTCTCCTTGAATCACCCTGTATTTATGCGGGACAACCAGCCGAATTAGGCGTGACAGCCGAAGCGTAACACTCATGACCGAAGCGGATCGGTGCCGGTGACGCCGAAGAAATGTAACAAGATCGTGAATACTTACGGAGTCGTGCGTGAGGTAAGTATCACAGTAGTCGCAGTAGTACCTACAACAAGTGCAAACAGGGAGAAAAAACATAGAAACATGCGTGACATAACAGCGCGGCTCAGTCTTTTCTAGGCCTACCCAACTCTCTTAGGACACGCGTAAAAAGCCCGTGCCTACGCCTGCCGCTTGTGGAACAAAAAGCGCGAGTGAATTAAAAAAAGAGTCAGGATCATTTAAACAATAGTTTCTGTTTAAGTTTGATACAAAAAGAAAGCAGATATTTGCAAATATGGGGTCAATGCTTACTTCGGCATCTTTCCTTTCCGATGAACCGAATGAACCACTCGTGACTGTCGACCCCCTAGCGGCTCCGAGATAAACGATAAAGAGCGACCCGCCCCATTGAGATTTTTTTAAATTCTATATATCATTATTGCTAAAAATTAAATGCACGCTAAAAATTTTTTTTTATAGAATACAAGGTAGTTTAATTTGGCGCACGTAAAATGATTTTTTTTTTGTTTATAGTTCATGGATTTATTTATTTTTCAACAAAGACGACGTCTGTCAACGCTGGTGACAATCCAACTTTTTTATAGCAAGTCGGATACAAATCCGTATCCAAATCGTTAATTATTTTTTTCTTTTACAACAACGCGATGGTTCGCGGTGTAGGGTCTTCTGCTCTTTCTGTTCTCCAAAGCGGCGCTCTCGCGCTCCTTTTTCTGGCGTGTGTTCTGTCCACCGCGCTGTCCAAAGATCCCTTCGACGAGGCCGAAAGCGAGTTGACGATCACCCTCCGAGCGGGAGCAATTGAATGTTTCCACCAACCTGCCAAGCCGGGCCAAGTCCTCGAAGTCGAGTATCAGGCAAGTGCCGCAAGCTGCTTTTGAGCTGGCGACTTCCGATTCGCTGCGATGAGGCGATGTATCATCTGTGTCGGTACATTGTTGCGCTGGCGACAACATGTGCCGGCCAACGCGCATGTACGACTCCTTTAAAAGATCACGTCACCGCTGCCGTGAATCTTCTCAAAGACTAGCAAGGCGCACCCGTGCCGTAGCGCCGGCTCACACAATGACCATGTCACCGAACATCTTGAGACACCTTACATAAATGGAACGCTGAATTATTATTTTCCAGATGTCTCCGCCAAGTTCAATGAAGGTACCCGTTTCTGCGCGCTCGCACGAAATGAATGGCAGGCTTCTTCCGAACTCACTGCCGTTGAGCTGAAGTTACTGCAAATCGAACTGGCGCGTTTGAAGTGATTGTTAATTAAAAATGTTCAATTAAAAAGTAATTGTAAATGAAAAAAGTGCTGGTTGCAGGTTCACATTAGATATGTGAAACAACTTAGCGAGGATCTCCCATAGTGGGAACAATTATGTGTCACCTAAACAGAGGAGCAGTATTCAATCTCGCAACATTGTAACCGCCTGGTTCAGTGGCCTGGTACCTATGGCCATAGGTTATGCATTCATCTTGATCAACACTGAATGCTACCTGTGGTGGCATTTCCCACCGAAAAATCACGTATGACCTTTATTTTCGTAGCGTAAACCAAGTTGCATAAGTTATGTGTAACAGGTGTTCTGTACATTGCTGCAAACTTATTCTAGCAAATGTGTTTCTGCGCTCGTTGCGACGTTCGGCGACACATTTCTTCTTTCCTAAAGGTGCTGGATTCCAACTTTGGCAACATGGAGGTAGGGCAGAAGCTTGACATCAACTTCTTCATGATGTCCCCGACCAAGCAGGAGCTGATCAAGGAATATGCACGCACCGACGCCGTACACAGGTCAGTGTCGCCCCACAGGTGTTGACTGGAATGATGACGGCAACTAGGGTGACTTCTGTAGTTACTAACAGGGTGAGAATGTAGTCTTCCAGTCGTGCTAACTCCGGCCCGAGCTTCCTGCCTTCAATAGCACTGCGCCGTTTTTTGAGCTTCGAGAGTGCATGCGCAGCCAAGGCACTGTGCAGGGCAACAAGCTGGAGGCATCTGAACGCCGGTTGTTCTCATTCTGTCGGTGACTGGAGTGGGCTATTTTATCAGCGTCCCCACTTCTTTGTGCCGCTCATAAGATCCTGTCTGTCGACCGTGAAAGGGTGTTTCGACTACGAGCGTCAATACAAAAGTGCTCATTAGAAAATGTAGCATGCAAACGCTTCCATATGCTTGCACAACTGAGTCACTGTATTACTTTTTTTTTTTTTTTTCTTTTTCCAATTCACACTGCCGTTTTTGTTTTGGAAGATGAATAGGCTTCAAAATTGCCTGTTTTATTTTTTTATTAAGAATTTGAATTTATTAAAGGAATAAGGATTTACGCGTCTTAGACCTTAAGGCTGGTTCAGACACTTGCTACCGCCTACGGCAGTGCCTTATAACTAGGCTGGGTACGTTCCGGCGTTTATTTATGTCAAAAACCGGCGGATGTTTTTTTGTGTTTATTTATTTCCAAAGTACCGGTGAATTTCGGTGAATTGTCTCGTGCAGACGCTTGAAACGGCTTTTATCGACGGAGAAAATCGCGAATAGAAACAAACGATCGAGACGAGAAACAGTTCAATTTTTGTTTACATCTGATTACACAATATTCTTCACACTTCATTACTCTAATATATGCATACATACACTCCAAGGCTCGCATCTTTCAGTGCTGCATGCTCCTTCCTGTTGACTGCGCATATTTCCGAGAGCGCACGCTCTACATTTGCACTAGACGCAGGAAGTCCCAAAATATCCAAAGAGCCTTGGGACAGTATTGGCCAGTCTGGCGAATGCAGCTTCTGGATGCGCTTCAACCCAAACATGAATGACGCTTCAAACCCCTCAACTAGGGTCCACAGAGAAAGAGGGCAATCTTCAGCGGGGCTATCTATACAAGGGCACAATGAGGACAAACTTTTGGGGACATAACCTGATGGTCAAAGTAATGAGCACTAACAGAAAAAAAGACGCTGCAAAGCGTCTTTTTTTTTTTAGTTTAAAGTTTTAAATGCCTTTAGTTTAATCTTTAGTTTAAAGAGTTTAAAGAGCTCGTACGTACGTACGTACGTACGCAAAGCCCGACGCCGCTCAAGCCGGGAACGGGCCCCTAAGAGCTGCGCTCTAAAAAAGATCTTGATTACTAAGAGAATTTAGAAAACCTAAACAATGTCTGTAAAGAAAAAATATGAACGAGTTTAAGGAATGTTTATACAAGACTTTTTCGGTGGAAAACAAAACTGCCGCGTGTACGAAAATATGCAAAAACCAGTGGTTTCCAGTTTTAACCAATCTTTTCTTTTTCGACCCCGGCGGATGTTTATCAGTCTTTTTCGGTTAAAACCGGAAAGTATACAGTCTACTTATATCCTTAAAATTTGTTACGACAAGAAGACACAGTGGTGCCATCATGACGTAGCAATAGAACAATTACCATACGTTTTCTCTTTTCACACACCTTTTTTTTTTTTTTACTTGTAAAACTTATGACAGCGTTATAAATGTCCGTTTCTCATACATAGTGCATACATATAATCTCGCAAATACCGCAGAACCTTCGCTCTAGTGAAATGCAGTTCCAGGTTCACCTCGTAGATGGAGCCAGCGTGCCCTCTTGCAGTAAGCAAATGCAAGAGTGTGAACGGGCCTTAAGTCACCCGGAGAGCTGAAGCTGCGTTAACTCCTGGTGCCATTTGTGAAGTGGCGAGCATTCTGGGACGCCAGGCTAGTTTTGTAGATGAAGCTGTTCCTCAGCGAGCACTTTTGCCATGCCAGGCACGAGGTGAAGGAGCACGGGGACCACGCCATCTGCTTCGACAACAGCCCCTCAATGGTGGCCAGCAGGACGGTGTACTTCGAGGTGTACGTGGACAACACCAACAGCGAAGAGGACGAGTGGGACCCCAAGGAGATACCATACTCACCAGAGCTCATCTACAACGACACTGTCAGCGACATCAAGGTGACTGCCCGGCATTTTTCGGTTTCCGCGCACCACTTCTTTCACCGAACGTGAAACATCTATAGGCGGCGGAGGGTAATCGTTGCGAGCCAAGAAAGGAAGAAAAGAAGTGCAACAATGATGGTTTTTTTGTAGAATTTGGCCGGTAATACACAATCTGCGTGAAGGAGAAAATAATGCTCCACTTATGTTGGCCCTACAGATAGTGTCACTATAAAAACGATGTGTTTTTGCAGCATTCTTCCTGGTTTGTGGTGGACATAGAAGTTTTTTTCTTTATCTATGGTGCGGCTTTTATTTTATTCTGAACTGTCTTTTTCTGACGCGATGGTGGGCACATCTTGGATTTCTTGTTTCTTTCCGCAAACTGGCCGAGCACTGGCGTCTGGCGATCGGCGTTCACATTCAAACAGTTAGTGGAAACCACTAAAATAAAGACGAAGCCACCTGGTTTTACGTCTACTTACTAACTGACACAGCAGTAGAATGTAGAGCTAACAATAGTGGGGTCGTTAGTTCGATTCCTCTTGGAGGCGCGAATTTTCTTCTTTCTTACCGCTCTTTTGTGCAGATGGTCCTCCGAAGTATGTGTTCGACATTCCATTACTATTTCCATGACGTCCTGTCGCCCTTTCGTCGGAAATCCCACCCGTTAGGTGCACTCTCTTTAAAAATATGGAACTTGGGCTTGCAGGCAACCATCAAGAAAGTGCACGAGAACATGGACAAGGTCAAGCACTTTCAGGACACCATGCGGGCGCACGAGGCCCGGGACCGCAACATCCAGGAGCACAACTTCATCCGCGTCAACCAGTTCTCCCTGCTGTTCATCGTGGTCATGCTGGGAGTGGGCGCCGTGCAGGTCATCATGGTGCGGAGCCTCTTCGAAGAGCGCAGTCGTCTGCGCAAGGTCTTCAAGTTCATGTCTTGACGGCTCTCTCTCCTCCGACACCCCCTTTCCCTCTTTTCCCTTTCCCAAAAGTCGTTGTGGTCGGCTTTTCCTTCTCGCCCACCTGCGTCTCGGATTTTAGCATCGGAACGCCGACCGACACACTCGCTTTCAAAGCTTGGCGTGCGTCGTTGCAGTGTCTTAAACGGAAATAGCGAGGCTGCTGGACTTATACGCTTCGTTTCGCTTAACGAGACGATAAAGGCTATGGGTACGGGCTCATAGACCACAGAAAAGATTCTTGTGTACAGCATGTCCCCCAAAAAAAGACTGGGTTTTTTTTTTTTCACCGCAAAAATGAACTGTGCATCGCCAAACGCTCGGCCTCCGACCAAATATGGCGCTGATGGTTTGAACCAGATACCAAAGTTTCAAAACTAAACATGATCTTATTCAAAAGCCATAAGCGATTTCTCTGAAAATTTCAATGAAGAAGTGGGGCTCATTTTTGGCAACTGGCACCATTCAGCTCGAAAACTTCGAGGACTTGCCCAGCCACTATTTTCCTATTGAAATGTTCTGATGATCATTTAAAACTTTTAAATAGGACAACATCTAGTTCTGAAACTTTGGCACCTGGTTCAAACCTTTAGTGCTATGTTTGGACAAAGAATGAGCGTTTGGCAATGCATAGTTTCTTTTCAAAGCACAAAAAAAAAAAACTGCAAAAATTTTTTTTTTTTTTTTTGGGGGGGGGGGGGGGGGGGGCATTATTATATATGCAGAGGGGGCATTATTTTATATCTTGAAAATTGCTTCAAAAGTCGTGTTGGCGTCCTTAGCCTTTATGTACCTTGTTAAAGCGAAACGGAGCGTAGCTGTGTTGTCGGAATAGACTAGAGTCACTTGGATTGTTGCAGCTTTGATGGTGCAGCGAGACTAAATTGTAATAAGAATTGCTTTTATGAGCTGCTTCACAAGTTCTTGAGAAAGTCGCTCAAGAGTGTGATTGACACTATTTTTTTTTGTTTCCTTTTGCACCTTGGTAAGGATGCCAAGGGCTCGCAATATACTTGCGTTGTTGTTCTTCAATTTGTGTGCTCAAAGTGCATTTCAGAAGGAGGACACAGTTGCTTCTTGTCAATGTGTGAAGACTTTGCTGCATTCATTTTTTTTTTTAACGGATTGCAGAGAAAGTTAGTCAAAGGAATTTGAAGGGCCTTGCGTCGGTGCAAACGCAAGAATTTAGAGTTACAGAAGAAAGAAACATCCAAACACTACCATATTTAGATACAATGAAATAGTCACACTCAGAATATTCCACCGAGGTGCATAGGAGCATGATTTATGGTAAAGCCCTTCTCTCAGTAACTTGTGAACATCTCTTGATGTTGATTTAAGCAGACGCCTAGGAAAGAAGAATGCACATAGCATTTTCCGATTTCAGAATTCTGGGAAGCTGTATTCGAACACGAGCCATTTTCTTTTTTAGTCTCAAACAATAGTGCCATAAAACCGCTGCAATAAAAAGAAAGCTACAGGTGCTGCATTTTCGGAAGCAGGACAAAAGAATACTACTAGTCGTTTGCCATAATGAGTGCAGGGATTTATTGTTTTTGTTGTTAGACCAAATGCTCTTACAAATGAGCAGTATTCCTTGCAGTGCAAGGTTCTTTTTCTTTGTCGTTTAAATGCTGCTGCAAGGTACTTTGATAGACTGGATGTGTTGTGACTTTACGAGCAATAAGGTAACCAAATATTTTCCTTTTCCTTTTTTTATTTCTAATGCATCTTTGTGCACAATGCTGCTAAGCTACTTTTTGAAAACAGATTCTGCTTTGTTGGCCTGGTCTTCATAAAATTCTGGATGAAAGATGCTCACTTTGTGCTTGTTTTTATGCCAAAGAAGTGCTCATGTTGTTTTTGTTAAAAAATGGCACAGATGGTTGTTTTAGAGCAACATCAATGCACACTTTAACCCATTAAAAAAAAAAAAAAATTTTTTTGCTTACACATTTGATTTATTCAAAAGGTTTTGGTTTTTTTGTGTACACGCAATAAAAAACATTGTGATTTGAAGCATATGGATGCCTTTTTGTTTCCTTGTAAAACAAAAAGCCTTTTTTAACTACTCTCTCAATGAAACCAAGCATTCTGTACTTCAAACCAACAGTCTTGGGTATCACATGACTAAAAAAGCATGTTCAAGACTTCATGCTTGTTAAATGGCTAAAATCAACTCAACATTATTTTTGGTCCCACAAACACAGGGGTGGTTATACAGAGGCAGAACAGTATACACATTTCAAAACTCGGTCAACGATCCAAACGATTATGATAAAATATAGTTAACACGATCACGAGGGTTTTTGCGTGACGACAGTGGCGGTTAATCACCTCAACAGTCATCGTCGGATATCTCTATCACTGTTGGATGCACCGCCTTTATGAGGCTGGGGCTGCCTTCGAGCGACACCATAGAGTCGAACAACGGAGCCGACTGGTCACAACTGCCACCCCCGAAAGGGAACGCGTCGTCTATGACACTCGACCCCCCCTTCTCTTGGCTTAGGAATGACAGCGGAGTACTCTGAGTCGGAAACGTATCCGTATCTGTAGTCGGAGTTTCCGAGCCCCGCTGACTCGCTTCAGCGAAAGGAGTGGACGGTGGTGTGTCGAAAGAAAGTCTACGCCTACCTGATTTACGTTCGTCAGGTTCTCCTGCGTCGCGGAACATTTTGCTCTCGTAGGAAGCATTCCTACGTTTCGGGGGCGTACAACCGGCATACAACGCATTCTCCTCCGCTTTGTCATTCGTGCTGGGCCGCGACTGAGATTCCTCCGCGAATCCCTGCTTCAGCGAATCCGAGAGCGATATCTTGAATGCGTCTGGCTTCGACAATTTGCGAGGGCTCTTCGTTTTTCGTTCTTTGGCTTTTCCGACCTGCTCCGTTGTCGTCGTTGCAGCGGTTGTGGCGTTCTTGTGTTCCTTCTCGATGCGTTGAGACAGTGGAACACTGAATTCGTCCACAGAGCTGTTGAGCGATTCTTCCTCTTTCTTGACACTGGTTTTTTCGAAGTACCGCCCTAATGTCACTACGGGTTTCGTCTGTTTTACAGCCGGCTTTGATTTCCGCACCCGTGTCACCCGCCTGCCTCTACTCTCGCTGGGTTGTGTTGGCAATGGCTCAATGGCTGTCTTCTCTTTCTCAGTGGTGTCGCCCACAACTTCCTTCCCGTTTCGATTTTTCGCGGAGACTCGAAAGAATTCTCGGATGTCCTTGTTTTTGGGTTCTGCGGGATGAAAAGTAGGGAAAATGAGTCATCTTGACATTCGTCGGACTTCCAAACTTTACAAATCTGAAAGCGTTCAAAACATGGTTAACCCTTTAAATGCGACGCTCGAGTATACTTGGACGCGTTTCCGTGTGGTTTCAGTTTTGGTTTTCTCCCTGTCCCTGCCAACTGGGATGTCATTTTTCTTACATATCATGGAATATATGAGCAAGTGATGAAAATATCTTGTTTTGTAATGTCCTTTTTTTGATGGCATGTAGCCTTTTTTTGTTTTGGCGACTTCTGTTTTGTTATGCTCCTTCGTTGCTACGGGACAGCAGGTAGTGTCGTTCAACTTTGCACTTTCTGGTGAACACCAAGATCTAGAAATTATTAAAGAACTTGGTATTCGACTACCGCGAAAGCGAGGAAGTTACAGTTCCGAACAAACAAGGGGCGAGCAAGGCCGCTCGAAAGACTGACCTCGGGGTGCAAGGCCGAGGTGCTGCTGAATAGTACCGTGTCTTGAAAAGTAGAATAGTATGAGAATGATGTCTTAGATTGGGAGGCAGGCGGACATCAATTAACACTGCCCATAAAATAGTGTTTTTATTAAATAAACATTCTTCACAGAGCATGATACAGTGTGACCGAGGCCAAAATTTGTGCTTGGCATGCAGGGGAAAAAATTAGGCACTTAAAGGGTTAACCAAGGAGAAAAAAAGGAACATTTGCACGATACCTGTGACTTTCTTTCTGCGCAGTTGGTCAAGCTTTTCATTGTAGCACCGAACCATCTCTGGGTATTTTTCTTCAAACAGTGTCTGTGGTTCGGTTGTGGTTGGGGGTGTTCCTTCGACTGCGGGTAAAAACGGCCATATTTGTTCCTTTGATCTTGAAAGTAGTACATAAGTGCAAAGAGGAGGTTATGCGATCGATCTCCAAATTACAATTAATTTACGAACAACCACAAGATATGTACGTTCACACTAAAATTTGTTCTTAGTGAAAGCTTGCTGGCTATTTTGGCGGACTTCCGATATTTATTATCGAGATCAAGGCATAGTAAACAATATTATACACTTGGGCACTGGATGTGTCATTGAGACAGAATCCCTTAATTAATTGCAATATTAAATTAACTACTGGAACGTATGTCACAATGTATTTTTTTATGATGGCATGCCACACACCATAAGACGCCCACATGCAGTAAGTAATTCATCTATTGCTTGCAGTACAGTAATAAAGCGAGAAAAATGAGTTCTACTTAAGAAAGATTCAGATTAAAAATACCTTTCTCAGTGCCTACAGAAAACAAGTCGTTTGCACTGTGCACAATTGCTTGAACTCAAAAGATGGTCTCGTTTGTTTGGTACCCAGTGTATGGGGCAAAAAAGAGAAGGTAGCCAGCGTGGTCACACAGACCTATACATCTAATTTTTTTGAATCTACGAGGCGTTACTGAGCACTGTTTGGCCGTAAAATAGAATGCAATAACACTTTCACAAAGGTAGTGCATCTATCTTGCTCAAACTTCATGAGTGTGGGTGTCGGGGAAAAAATCTTTAATCCTAAAAAATCCAGTGTTTCTTCTATGGACAGCGAGGAAGGTGGTAAAAACCGTCTGGTCGACGCTCCTACTTCCAGACAGCACAACATAAAGCAAAAACGTGAAAGCTTCTTCTGGGACAAACGCCTGAAAGTAAATCCGACAGATCCAAACGTGTGTGCTACTGCCCTTTGTGAGTAGCAACGTGAACCAGGTAGCTTTTACCGTGTACTTCACTGTGCATAAAAGAAACCAGGATTTTCTAGGCTTAATTTTTGTTTGTTTTTTCTTGAAACCCATATTTACGAAATTTGAGTATGATAAATTCACCATCTAAATACACCTTAGTAAACGGTTTTCAAACATTTCAGTTCATTGGTTTATTTATACAAAACTTTTTTAACGCCCGAAGAGCGCTCAGAAACACCCTGTAGAAGCTATTGTTTTGAAGAAGGTTCCAAGCCAAAACGTCTCGCGGTGGCGGGGGTACTTACAATCTTCAGCTTGCCACTCAACCTCGAAGAAGTCGGCACCCTGCACGACACGTTCCTTGACGATTCTGCAAGAAATAGACTGCATTTGGCTGATTTTGCAACGAATCGGCAACATGGGTCGCTTGTTTTAGTTTGGCGAACAATATTCACATTTTCTTTCGTCAAACGCCATTGCCATTGCTATGTAGTAACTTTGCAAGACTTCAGGTCCGCTCATTTATGCTTGCTTTTTGAAAGTATGCATATAAGTGAAATATACACTTTTTGCAGGTAGGTATTAAACTTAATTTAATTTAAGAGAGCAGATCAGCCTTGTGATGAAGGATTACCAAAGCGTAAGCTACCCTGTAAAGTCTTAGAGAGATGGGGGTACTGCAGTCTTGGGGACGCCTTTACGAGAGATTGCAATTGGAGTAAGCAAAACATACGCAACGTGGATACGGTGGTAGGGATCTGCCTAATCTTTGGCTTCTCGTGGCCAGTCCTAGGCTTTCGCCATTTCTAAGATTTCAAGAAGTCCAAAAACTGAGAAGATCCCGTTAGTAACAAGGTAGGGTCGATTGAGCGAGCTGCTCGCACTTAAGACCATTAAATGGCAGTTTTAATTCCCCGTTGCAGTAAGCGACATTCCAGAGTTAAACCGGTTAAAAGTGGAGCTGGTGACAAAGGAACCCTTATCACGGGACATACAATGTCATATCCGTGATATGCACTGCGACACGGCGAGAGATTGAGCGGTCACTGCTTGCTCCGGTGTATGCTTCGGCCACACCATTGTTGCACGCAAAGGCTTAGAGCGCCGAGGGAACGGGCGACCAAAGGCGAGAAAGAGTATGTGGCAAGGTGTGCGATCACATGACCCCCAGCGCAATCGCGATTAGCCGGACACGCTACGCCTCAACCGCGACTTTTATCAGAAAAACGGCGAGGGTATCACTGCTGTACTCGCCTTCTCTCGGCACCAAAGTCACTTCCCGCGCGACAAAGGGGCCGACTAACAGTGGACTGATTTTGAATGTGTGCGATTTGTGCGCTGGAAGCAATCACATGATTGGTTGTTTCGTGTTCAATGGTGCCCTTTGGTATTTTCTGTGCTAAATTGAAGAAAAACAGGGCGTGTCGCATTCTATGATTTCATTTCTAATAGGGAAATCAGATGCATATCAATCTAATTTTAGGTATTTTAGAATGCTTAGAAGCTGTAGATTGAGGTGTGATCCTAAATAGACGATTCACGAAACCATTTTAGTGCCCCTTTAACGTACAGACCCTGCATCTTTTTCTTCTAGAATCTTACTATGCTGCACACAATACACCTCAAATAAAGGACAGTGTCTCAAAACCATTCTCTAGGACAGAAACACAAGATTGACCCTGTGGCTGGAGCGGTAAGAGAGATGCACTCACCTTATTGGCATGAGGACGGTGTCACGGGTGTCATTGTTTTTGTTCCGTAAGTGCCAGCAAGTTAACAATGGAAATAGATTGTCCCGACTGTCTTGAGTTTTCCACCTGAGTGTGTTGGACATCAAATTCTGCAATGTTTAAAGAATCATTATTCTTTGAGTCGTTTGTCTTGCGTACCGTACCGCCTAATGGACCCACTTCGAACTGGGACGTTTTGGGTCGGGTCCAGGTGACGTCCACTCTTTCAACCTTGTTGTTCTTGTTGAGAAACTCTCGAATAACCTTATAAAGGAAAAGGAAACAAAAAAACAGTGAGGTCATGTCACACTTTACAATAAATAAGCACTTTCGAAAATGTATTCCAATGCAGGTGGTGAAATGAATCTGAAAAACTGCAGTTGCACCATAGTTAATGCCACCAGAAACGGGCCGTTTACTGGCCACAGCCAGTAGAGTCACTGTCCATCCACAGAGCACAAAGTCTCCCCACGTTTCTCCTTTGTGTCACCAGATGGCACAACCATGGAGCCCGCACCAGTATGGAAACACGCGACACAAGGATCTATCCGTTGTGCGCATTCTGCTGGAGATACATTCCACCGAGCAAGAAAGGCACAAATGAAGTTAATACGGTTGACCCTGAAACCATGCATTTCCAAGTGAAAAGAGAATGTCAAATGAAATACCTCACATTCTACCTACTAATGTACAGGTTGGCACGAGAAACAGGGACATGCGAACACAGTTCAATCACATCTTAAAAGCAAACTAAGTGCCACCAACAAACAAGGTTGACATTTTCTGGTTTCCATTTTTAGTTCAACTCAACTGGTGTCAATATGGATATACTTCAGCTCAAATGATGTCAGTAGGATAGCCAGCAACCAATTAGTAAGTTCAATTTCCATCCCCAGGCAAAAATCAGTCCACTTTGAGCTAGAATCCAGCTGGACTGCCTCATTTCCAGCTCTATAATCCAGCTGGAAGTGGACTGATTTTCGCCTGGGATGCTCGGCATTCAGCGACTTCAACATTAACTCTCAGAAAACGGGCTCACGTCTTCTGGGGGAAACGTCTTGACTTCCTTGGCCTTTTTCCTGAGTTCAAGCTCCACTTTCCACTTCTGCTTGATCACCCACTGCTCGTGCCACTCGCACTTGCAGTCCGCACTTTCTGGCTGAACCAAGTGGCACGCCTTCTTTCTACCACATGCCTCACAGCCGTTCGTCTGGTGCAAACTTCTCGTTCCTGTTTTGCAGAAGAGAAATCGCAGTTCCTGCAATGCTCCGAAGAGTTCGACTGACTTTACCGTCTCGTCGCTCATTTGTAGTTTTCGTGCGACTTCCGCCTTGTTAGGCATTCATATTTAAGGCATATTTGCCGTAACCTTATGTATGGGATTCTTTGGGGTTTCTATGTTTCGCAAAGCTTACTGTAAAAAAATTTGGCTCCAATTTTTTCAACCCAGCATTTTTTTTTTTTGATATTTTAGAAGCTGGGTATCCCTGGGTCATTCACAAAAAAGACTACTTCGTAATTGCCTACAGGGGTAATTTGTGTGAAACAAATCTGCTCTTTGCACCAGAAATGACTTTGGCAGGTACTTTGGTTAGAATTACTAGTTGTGGCTGATGTCAAGATAGGATGAAAATTTGCAGGATCACTTTTTTACGTTAGAATCGTTCAGAATGGAAGTCCTAGGGACCACCATTTCCTCAGCTCCCATGGAAATTTTGGATTTAACCTAGCTTAGATAGAATACATGTTTGAGTCATATATAGAGGCAAAAATTGGATTTCATCTGGAAATGACGAAGCCTATGGTAATTATATTTTGCAACTGTAAAACTGTGAAGTTTAAAGGATTACACCTTTTACATTAATAAAGCGATATACACTGGCAAAAGGGCCAAGCCATCAATGCAGCTCACCAAGGTGCTGGCAGTGCGTGCAATGCGAGTGCTTTTTGACCACCGCATCAACCTTCCTTTCCAGCATTTCATACTTTTTGTCCACGAACCAGCTTCGCAACCTACGTTGAAAAAAAGTCGGGGACAAATTTCGAATGGGCGTCTAAATTCATTCGGCACCGCCAAGTCACGTATTGATGCGCGACCGTGAGTCCAAATCATGCAAGTGTGCACCGTTGTTGCTAGCAAATGGCATTATCGACAGTATATACCACGCATTCACTCGAGATAGCCCCAGGCATTCCCCAAACAAAAAATACCTTGAAACGCCCAGTTCAGAAGACCGAGATTCATGATCCTACAGATTTGAGCAGGTTTATTGATTCTTCACTGAATGTGACCACCTATGTTCAGTTTGACATTTGTATATACGCTAATGAAAAGGTACACCCTGCGACACTGTTGGCGTGAGCGAGCCACTGCTGGTCTTCTCTATTTTTCTCTCACTATTGAAGGACTATGTTAAAAGCTACTATGGTGGTGGAGGTGCTCGGTTGGGGTGCTAACACAAGTGGTAAATTTTGATGCCCACCGGCACCCTTTCGAACTAAAATGCGCAAAAGCACCGAAGTCGTGTTCACGCTAACGGTGTCACGAAGTGTACCACAGAGAACATTCTTTCCCACCGTAGTCGCTGACAGGGCGGTAGCCCTGTCGGCAACAGGGCTGCTGCCCTGTTGCCTGTCTCCAACACGAACTTCCCAACTTCGACGATGCTGTAAACATCTCGTGCATTTCGCACGCGCAGCCACAGCATGGTAGAAAGCATGAAGAATGTGCCGGAGGCATTCGAAAGACGCGCACTGCCGTTCGTTCTCCCTCTGTCGGGGACTGCAGACGAAAATTAGCAACGGGGCTATACTGAAGGAAAGTCAGAACAAGCCACCTCTCAATGACGTCCACGTGTTGGAGCGAGCACAGGAACTTGAGTGCAGTCTCCTTGCCCACGTTCTGAAGCCCCGGAAAGTAATCGCAGCCCGAGAGCACCGCAAGCGCTATCAGTTTCTTGCGGTTTAAGCCCAGCTTGGACTCGATGTCGGCCATCTTGTATGCCAACACGTGAGGATCCTGGAAACATGCAGACTACTTAGGTACCATACTGCATAGACCTCCTCCCCTGCCTCAGCGTTTAGCAAAAGCCATCCATCTCTCCTCGTTAAGTGCCGCGACAAAACAATGTTGGTTGTACACCCGACTGCTGTTCTTTAATATTTTCTTATACCTGACTTTTACTCGCCGCATTCGGCGTGACTTCATGCCACGAAAGTGCCGCAGTGTTTTGTGCCCCAATAAACTTTTGGTAGTGTATTTATTTCGTTCTTTAACCATACGCGGCAATCGAGTAAAAAAGATTTTTCGTCGGAAAAATACCTAATGTTTGTAAGAACTTGCGCACATCATAGAGAGTAGTAAAAACAAAACAAAAAAGAAGAGGAAAACCAGAAGCAAGCAAGGGTTTGTTGGTAATGAGCAGAAGCGAGCTTGTTCACAAACAAACATCGGTGAATATGCTGCAGTGAGACAACATTAATCCATGCCCAGTTAGTAATGCGGATATTCTCCAAAACATGTGATGGCTTTCGCTCAAAAAGTGTGTGGTTGTACAGAACGAACGTCAAACCAAATTGATTACCAAGTTACAACAAGCAAAAACAGAGTGACCAAATTGCAAAAAATGCTTCTATATGGGTCACTAGCGCTATGTGCTTTGACACGTGCCAGTGAGCATGAATAAAGACGACAACACACGCGCTCACATTTGTTTGATCTAAGACCAGTTGGACATTACTTTTAAGGCCCGTTCACACTCTTGCGACCGAGTACGACTGAGAGAGACGAGATCTCTTAGAACTTCTTAAATGTTTTTAGAATGAGGGAACACACTGGCATTGTGGCGCCATCTATGCGGTGACCCTGGAACTGCATTTCACAAGAGCGAAGGTTTTGCAGGATTTCCGCGGTCAAATGTGCGTAATACTCATAAAACGGCTCGTTTATAGCATTGACAAAAGCTTTTTCGAGCCAAAAAAGAAAGGATAATGCGCGAGAAATAAAAAAAAGATGCCGGACCGCCGTGTTTACACTGCTTCCCAATAGATGGCTCCAGTGTGTTCTCCGGTTTAAGAAGTTTTAAGGAACCCAGATTTAAGAGGTCGCAAGAGTGTGAACGGGCCTTTAGTCTCTTTATCTGTATTTCTCAAAAACAACACAGCTTTCATGCTTAGGCTAAAGTTAATACATCTATAAATGATGTCATGCAACTGGGCACTCTTCCATGCTTCAGAAGATTAGTAACATTCCACTTGGCATGCTTTGATTCCAAAGAAGGCATATTACTAATAATTGAAACATAACGTTCTGCTATTTGAGTACATCATGCACTGTAAGCCGTAAATTACATTAGCATTGCTAACAAGAATGCAGAGCAGAGAAATGATCCTATCACCTTGTCTTCAATGTTAAGCTTCCTGTAGACTGTGGCGGCACCATAGAGAAATGCATCCCCATCTTGAGTCATACAAGCATCCACCATCTGAAGAAAAGATTGAGAGAAGGAACAATGACGCTCTGCATGAGCTTCCTCGACACTGAATGTGGAAAACAGTGTGCGGGCATGTAGTTGCGCACCTTTCGTTCGTTGAGGAAAGCACACGTGCACTCCGCCTCGCCGGGACTTTGGATGCAGGGAAGTCCAAGAATGTCCAGAAGCTCTCGGCACTTTAGAAAACGCCAAGAACAGTCAATTTGAAGTGAAAGATCCAAAAGATTTAAAAGCATGCATGTGCGAGTTCAGCATGTGAAATAGACATACAATATTATGACATGCAAATGTTTTCTTTGCAGCCCTTAAAAAGTAGGCAAAATTCGGAACGTTCACTTTGGGAGCCCGACTTGCATCCAGGAACTATTAAAAACACTGAAGCATATATGATATCATAAAACAGTCGAAAAACAGAAATTAAAATATGCGAATGACCCACGAGATGCATAAGAAATCTTTGCTGGGGTGACTCTTGTGTGCTTAAATGCCAGTAGGGAGGCAGACAGCAGAAATCCCATGTTTACGCCGCAATCATAATGTTCCGCGTTCTCGAGGATTATTTTTCTTCAAAATCGAGGCTGTCTTTCCAAGTTTATTGTCGATGTTCAGTGTCGAATGAAAAACTTGCCTTCATCAGGGCTTATGTCGAAGGGCATACGAGATTCCCCAACCTCTGGGAAATTACCTGAATACTTGGAAAACCTCCCAGTGAGAAAAGGAAATGGGAAAAGGGCTGTGGTTCGCCAAGACAGAAACAGCCTCACAGACAGTTGAGTGAATGCTGCATTCACTCAACTGTCTGTTGAGTGAATGCAGAATGCAGTCTGGGTGAACCAGCTCTTTATCTAGAGCTGGTTCACCCAGCCCTAGATAAAGATTTTTTCTAGTGAAGCGTCCCATGCAGGGACAGCTCCGATTCGGAGTTTGTCCATTTTACTTGATTTTGATAAGAGCGGCCCAGGGGGTTATTTTTAGCGGTGCAAACCGAAAACATGAAACCCCAATCACAATCAATGGTCGTAGACGAGAGTAATAACCATCATCATAACCGACTATTTTTACTTCGGTTTGAACTCTTATCGGTCAGTACCTGCATGCTGAGAAAGTGCAGTCCTGCCCTGTACGCCGAGACCTTTCTGGGCTCCGCTTCTCCAAAGCGAGCCAGACTCCTCTGAGAGAGGGTGTCCATTTTCACGTCTGGCGATTTGCCTTCGAGCACAAACACGAGTTTTATTCCGTGCCTGAGCAGCTTCCTGCACCTAAAAAAGAGGTTCCTGAAAAGGAAACGAGGTTGCCTCTGAATGAAAAGATGTACCTATGGATTGTCGGCTAGTCAGCAAGAGTCAAACTTGTGGTCGGTCAATGGTTCATCAACGGAAGTTGTAGTAAACATTCAATTGTTTTGCGTTGTAAACATTTAACTGTTGGAGCCTTCGATGTTACATCAGTGACTTAATATCGGTTGCCTTTAATACCTTGTTTGCATCCGCCAACCGGCGCCACAAGTACATTCAAATATTTATTTTTTCTTTCGAAAGGTTACTAAAAGCTCGCCAAAGAAAAGAGTTTTGAAGTTATTTGCTCAGCAAGAAATAAACAAAACACCTCCCTCATACAATTGAAAACACGGGGTGTCAACCAAGCAGAAAACTTAGCTTGTTCGAGAGACTACAGGCACTTAAAATACTTGGCTATTGGGTTGTACAATTACTTTATTAAGTACAAGCAAAGCAGACAGTGGGCACATTATATATAGTTTTCACCTTTGTAAAAAAAATCACTTTATTGTGATTAGTTGCCAGCAAAGCACTAGGCTCAATAGACCTTTCCAAAAACTCCCAGGAGACCTTGTGGCGAAGGGAGTTGCGGGACAGTTTCAATGTAAGCCCGTGCCGACTTAAACACCTTGTATATCCTGGAAGCAGCACCAATTCATTCTCTCTTATTAGGATCTCAAAAAGGGCTAAAGATAAAGCAGGAGGTCATCACATAGTCTGTTTTGCTTTCCTTCTGCTTTTTGATGCATTCTGAAATCACAAAATTGTAAACCAATGCCAACATTGTCTTCCATTCGTAAAACATGTCACGAGCCATGCATCGGAATGTCAGAGTGCATCTGGCAGATGAAGGGGGTGCATTTGCAATAGGATAAAGCCTTCCAAAAGCTAACCGTTCAAATAGCCCGACCCCAGGTTCGTAAAATACTCAACCAGTATTTATGAACTCGTGTAAATGAAGCGTACTGGTAAAGTTATGATGTTAGAGGAGAATTGCATAAATGAGGAGGGCAGGACGACACAGATGTCATTTGTCATTTATGTCACTCTCCTATAACACCGAGAGTTTACGAGTCTTCTATCAGAGGCCAACCCCGTTCCCTAACTAAATCCAGATACAGAATGCACCCTTGACACCTGAGAAGACAAGAAAGTTCTGCCACAGCAACACCGTCCCTTCTCGACATAGTCCAACAGGCAGGCACGGCAGTATCGGTGTCCGCAGGGAATGCCGTGAGTTGCGTCTGATTTTCTACACGCAGAACACAAGATGTCAACTTTGAGAGAAGGAGCAACGCTGCTCCTCTTGCGAATTTGTCCCAGCGTCTCGGCGAGCGAGTCCGAAAGACTTTGCGCAAGTCGTTCTTCGTGCGTCGCGTGGTCAACTTCATTTTTTGGACGCCTCGCCAAAAATGGTGCAACTTGCTCGACACCTCCACCGTTCGGAGGCGAGTCAACCTTTCGCTTAGATGCTTTTCGACGAGCCTCCTCATCAAGCTGACTTGCATGTAGTCTGCCACGGTGCATTCCTGTTGGTTTTGTCTCGATGCACTTTATCATTGCAGATGCCGTCTTGACCCCACTTTCAGCACTCCCTCTACCGAGAGTCCTCGGAACGTTACCCAGCCTGTCCAAGTTCTTCACGACAAAATGATCTATCCTAGTTTTGAGCTCCGTCAGCGACGTTGGTCGTGCGTCTTCGGAGAACGCGACCCCCGTAAAAGGGTCGCTAGGTGACCGTCCCCACTTGCGCTCACTCTTGACATGTTTGTCCAGCGTAGCTTGGTCAATCACTTGGCCCCCCGGCAGCAAAACAGGCTGTGTCATCAGTTCGTATGTTAAGGCATCCTGAAAATCGCTGGGAATCTCCAAATCAGAAGGGATCTGCGGTGACCTGCCAGTGGAGATGTCTCTGGAGGTCGATGGCTTGGACTCTAAGCTCACCGTTACCGGCGAACGTTGGGAGGCGCGCGGTACCGCTAAGGATTTTCGGAGAAGTTCTTTCTGAAATGCAATGTCGCACGAGTTTCCCATCGGTTGTCCCCAAACCTGGCAGAATCCAAGGCCGACAGAGGTGCTGCCCTGAACGCGAATCAGTCTCAGTTTGAGTCTCCGCACGAACTTGCAGTGGTAGGCTTTGAGCGCTTCAGCGGCTTCGCTTTGGGCATCTTTTTTGTCAAGGGGGTCATTCAACTCGACGAAGGGACCCCGCGGGACGTAGCGCCGATTTCGGAACCACACGACGTCCTGCGCTGGGTCGTACTTGCGGGCGAGGAGCTCGAAGTCGGCTTCGCCCTGAGGCGTGTGAGAGACCCAGAGTTCGAGGCCGGTCAGTCTGACCGGCCCCCTGACAAGACCGACGCATATCCAGCCAAGCTCGGACGGCACCGGGAAAGTTATGACGACGTTGACGGGAGGTTTAATGAAGTATTCTGCCATGAAACCCTGCTGGCGTCGCGTCGACGTGCTGATGAGGTTTTCGACGTCGTAACCATCGGAGCATATCTGATCAGCTTCAATACGTGTACCGATCTTGTCGTCGCACAAATTGATTGCCATGAAAACGGGAATCCGTCTACGAGCAGACACATAAAAACAGAATGCATTCGTTCAATCTATCAATCATTGTAGTCAAACCCCGCAACTCTGGACGGCCGTAAACTAGTTAGACTGCCGACACTGGCGACCCTCAGTCACGTGATAAACTTACACGACGTGAAATCGTGAAATACAACGCACTTGCGATAGTTATCGCGATTGGTTGTTCGCCCCTGATAAGCTCCGAGTAACTTCCCGACAGATTCTGGCTCTCATAGCTGGCTCTGCGTAATACACGATAGAACGCGAAATCTAACTCTCTTTGTAGTAATAAATACTAACGACAATACGCATAGGAAACTGATTTGCGTGTAATGGATATTAAAACAGTAATACTCACCTGATGTAGCCATTTGGTGTGTGATGTTTTGCGGACTGACTCTCCACGATCCAACCACTCAGATCCACGGCGACCGTTTGTCCTTCGAGATCTTCGAGCTGAACTTTTTCCGCGACCCCTGATAGCACTTGCCATAAATTCGTGACACCCATGATCACTGGTGTTTTTAAGACCGGTAATCGCGCGATCACGAACCACCCGGACTCCGTTCCCCGGAGAAAACGATCTAACGGGCTTCCTAAGAGCAAGATGCGTGCATTAGCGATAGTTGTTGAATGCTTATATTGTATACATGTTATCCGCAAAGAGCATCAAAATGCAAACCGTGCAAGCGAGAGGAAAGCCAGTTGTAATCAAACTAATCAAACCTAACTCTGCCGCCATGCCGCCATCATGGTCACGTGTTCTTTTTTTTTGGGGGGGGGGGGGGGGGATTTGTTTTGTTTATGGATGTTAAGTTGGGTATCTGAAAACTCAGAAACTACAAAACACTTTTGTGAAAAATATCAATATAAAAAGAAAGGTTTAATGATACAAAACAAAATAAATAACACAAAGTGTTGATGAATAACTTCTGGCGGATAGTGCATGAAGTAACGCCGTTCAAAAAGTATATAAAAAAAATTGTGAACGAATCGAAAGCACGCCACCTGTCGGAATGGAGACTCGGGGTTCAAAAGATGCCGACGGCACTTTCTCCTCAAAAGTTTTGTTTACGCCACGTTTAGCGTCGTATGGACAGTAATCATCCCACAACTACAAGAAACTAACTAGGAACTCCTCTCGATGTGGTCGGTTCATCTCCAGTCAAGCTGGGCGTTCCTTCTTCCCTCGCCGAGAAGGTCGAAAATGGACCGTGGCTGGCAGAAAGTACGATCCTTGGCAGAGTTGACAGCATTTCCTTTGTTAGCGTCGTTGTTGGACGCTGCTGAGATCAACGACCGAGGCTGACATATCGCCATGCTCTCTGAATCACAAGCTCCGGGACTTCATCTAGCAGTTGCATCCAGAACGAATCAGCGAATTTTAAACGATTAAACTACGACAGTGACACTGATCGGCTATGTCGGCGGCGACGCATCAGTTCGGTACGCCACGGCCGCTGCTCATCTCAAACACATCGGACCTCCGCGCCGTGGTCGGCTGTCAGATGTTGCTCCTCCACGCGCTGCGCAAGCGCCGGCGACGCCTGCTCCTCGATCAGCGACCTTCTCACTCCGTGCATATGGTGCAAAACGCGATGTTGCTTCGACGGGTCCAGCGCCGTCAATCCAGGATCCATTTCCTTGCGAACCTGGTGAAGACCGCCGTGACGGCGGGTCTGGGTCGCGACCTCTGCTTGGACCGCAAGCCGTCTGACAACCACGTCTCCGCCTACGACGACTCGGAGTCCGACCTGGACGACGACGACCACTTGCTCTCCCCCGGCCAAATCAGCGACGACGTCTGGCTGAACACGTTCCGGGTAGGAAAGGACCTCTACCACTACCTCCTCACCGAGCTCAAGCCGTTCATGTGCGTGGACGAGGACGACAGAGACGACGACTACCCGCCTTTCGAGCAGCGGGTCTCCATCGCCCTCTGGCGCTTGGGGAAAGTCTGGGACGACCCGGCGCTAATGCGGGCTTTCGGCGTGACTGGAGACACAGTGGCCAGGATCGTGCGAGAGTTCTGCGCCGCCGTGGTGAAGGTCCTCATGCCGCGTTTCGTACAGGTGCCCTACGACGAAGACCTGGAAGACATTGCCGAGCAGTTCCGCGACCGCACCAAGTTCCCGCGGTGCGCCGGAGCGCTCTGCTTCGCGCACGTGCCTATCCTGCCGCCGCAAGACGACGAAGGCAACGACTACACGAACCCAGAAGGCTGGAACTCGATCGTGGTTCAGGCGGTGGTGGGCGCTGACCGGCGTTTCTGGGACCTCAACATCGGTTGGCCTGGCAGCACCCAGGTGGCGCAGGTAATAATGGAAATTGTGTTGCGTGTATGCTGAGACGGACGGAAGTTAATCAGCCTCAATGGGCATCTGGTGTCCCAGCCATAGATCAATCAATCAATCAATCAATCATTTTATTTTTTCAAGTCAAATACAAATTCGACTTGAACGGTCCGCTGGCACAAAAGGCAAACAGGTTGCCTGACGAGGTGCCAGCGGCCGGTAAGGACGGCAAAATGATGAGAAATTTAACCAGTGCAGTAGTACCGCTAGCCAGAGCCGTATATGGGGAGAGTTTGGTCAGTCTATGATCTCGCCGCCGTAACGCTCTCCTCCCGAGTGAGCCAATCAGCACGCGGCGCAGAGCGAGAGGCATGAGCGCATGCGCGTGAACTCCAGGCTGCTCCCAGCTGAGTGGGGAGGGCTGCCATTTTTGTTCATTCTCCCGGCGGAATGCGTGGAATCGGCATCTAAATCTCTATTATTTCCTTTTATATCGCTGGCTCTGGCAAGAAAATGACATACTGTTATTCCTCGGTGGGTTAAAAAGCTAATAAATGAAGATTTTTTGGCGTGTGGCCACAAACTTTTATTCAGGCGAAAAAGAAGTCGGCCCGTAGCAGACGACGCGTAGCCTCAGCAGTGCTCTTCTCTGACAGCAAAATGGCGGTCGTCTCTTCTCTGCTCGCTTCTTTCTCTCTTGCTCCTTCGGTGCTCTCCTCCATTACATTTACTTTTCTCCTCTCTGGCGCCTTCGTCGCCACACCCACTGGCCAAACTCTCCCAATATACGGCTCTGCCGCTAGCCTGCGGTCTTGAACGTGCATCACGCGGTAGTCAGAAATGACCGCACGCCAGTGCGATGCTTGTCCAGATCGACACGGGCAGGGTGCAAGGATTGAACTCGGGATCCCTGGGTTATGCAGCGTGAGTTTTTGCACCATGTGCCCTGAGCTGTGGCGCATCAATGGAGTCAGCCATCGATTCCTCCGTGCAGGTGCTGCGTAGCTCCAGCCTCTGGAAGAAGGGCGAGGAGGGCACGCTGTTTGCGGCCAAGGTGGAGGAGATCTGCGGCATCAGAGTCAAGCAGGTCCTGGCGGCCGGAACGGGCTACCCGCTGCGCCGCTGGATCGTGACGCCCTACCTGATGCCCAACGAGTGCCAGCTGCGCTTCAACCGGTCGCTCAGCGAGGTCCTGTCCGTCGGGGAGGCGGCCTTCAGGAGGCTGGAGGCGAGGTTCCCGTTCCTTCTGCGCCACAACGGGAGCGGCATCGACCTGATGCCCAGCATCGTGGCGGCCTGCAGCACGCTGCACAACATGACGGAGGAGTGGGGGGACGGCTTCGCAGAGTTCTGGCTGGCGGAGGCTTCGAGGCACGCCTTGCCGCAGCCACACCCTGGGGGCGACCCAGCGGGAGATGCCGCACGGTCCGCAGAAGGGGAGGCAATCCGGGCCGCCCTTTTTGCAGCGGTTATAACCTGAGATAACCGTCATATGACGTGCATCTTCCGAGACCATGTTTTAGCTTGTGGACACCGCTGTGTCCTAAGGCTGGTTCACACACTTGCAATTGTTTACAACAACATGCTCCTGCCATCTGTCGGGTGGAACACTCTTGATTTCCGTAAATTTCCTTTCTCTTTTTTTTTTTCCGCATGATTCTTTCTGGGCTTGAAAAACATTTGACATTAGAAACTACCATATCTCATAGATATTACATACATTTATAATAACTTTATTCACCATATCACATATGGTGGGAATCTCGCAAATAGCGCAAAACCTTCGTTCTAGTGAAGTGCAGTTCCACGGTCGCCTCATAGATGGCATCAGCGTCTTCCCGTCGTAAGGGATGGCAAGAATTCGTTTATAAGCAGACGCGTGTGTGAACAGTCCTTTACCTGAAGCGTGTTGCACGGCTATAATTTTACTGACCTCAAGTCTGGATGCAGCTGACGCTACGAGCTGATGAGACCGATCAAACAGCATCAAAAGCGCAACATGGTGTCTGTCGTGTCTGTACATAACTCGTTATTGCTGAAGCGATCGTATACATGGAAAGCCGAGTTCCTTGTGCTTTTGATGCCATTTGACCGGTTCCGTGGGGTTGTAATGTCGGGCAAGTCCATACTTAAGGCAAAACTAAGTGTAGTGCATCGAGGCTTTTCTACTTTTTAATATTCTGCGAGGGTAGGACGAATAAGTTTTGCCCTCTCCAGTCAGTCACAATCAAAGTTGAAGCGTAGGAAAAGGCGGAGAAGAAGAAGACTACAAGCTTTTCCATTCTTCCCCGGCATTTGTATTTTTTTGAGACTATATAATATTTTGTATAATAGGGCTGTTGTCTCGACGAATCATAGAAAAGTATTTGAGCAAAGTATGCTGCAAACAGTTCCGGGCTCATTCACATTGTTTCGTAAGTGGGGTGCAAGGGACTCTCTTACTCTGGGCATTTGCTTATTATATCCCTAGGCACCAAGCCCCCCCTGCTTACCCAGGAGCTTGAACATTCCGTGCGGACAGGTTTTACGCAGAGGAATTTTGTGTTCGTAGGAAGTCCCTCGCAACATTCCTCATGATGTTTGCTAGGAAGTACCACATGCAGTTTGTCTTCCAGCCTGCAAGATGTGACTGAGTTGCCTTTGTAACATTTGCCCAGTCGAGGCAACCTACTTCAGTTGGTAACTCAGTTTATAAGAATTTAATTATCTATTGTAACATACTTTCTGCAAAGTATGACTATGTAACGGGAATGTATGGTGATAGATGGACTCTACTTGGCGTCGACTTTTTGTTCTCCATTGTCGAGGCTGGGACAGTTTCCAGTGCTGCAGCCTTGCACTGCCGAGTGTGTGTGGCTTCGTCTTGCATCTCGTTTGCATGCAGTCTCGTGTCAAGATGTTAAAGTCATGAGATACCTTTGAAAGCATTGGAGCACTGCTGAAACTATGTTAGCTTCGATAAGGAGGCTCAGAAAAGTGACATCAAGTATGGCCTTGTGATGGGGGCCAGGCAAGAGCCATTATTTCTCTCGTCTAGGATGTTTTTGGGTGTGGTGCAGAATCTCAACAAATCTTGGTCACATTGTAACAATATGAGAAGCTGTGAGAACTTCCAACTTCTGCTATCCTAATGTGGTGCTTAGAACACTTACCGCATGGTGCTGTTGCAGTTATTTTTGTTTTACGCTTAAAAGTATGGTTTCTTTTGTTTTTAATACTTTCGTGTTTTGGGACATCTAGGTTCAGTTGGGAAACATTGGCTATCATCTAACTAAGGATAGTTGGTTACGGGTATCATGCTGAAAACGTGTAGCATTACAACCAACCTCATAATCTCCTCAGAAGGATGACTTATGCAATGCTTTAAAGGGATGTCACCTTTATAACTTGCGTCACAACACATTACACTCTATTTTTACGAGTTCTCCGACCATTTTTCAGTGATTGCATATCCATGAACATATCTACTCGTACGTTTATACTTGTTGAAGACTCCCACCTAACATTGTTGGAAATTGCTCATGATTGTGTCTGTCACGCGTATTGCTTCATATATTTATGGAAGTGCAAGTCGGCACAAATCAAAACCAAGCTCTCGACTCATGTCAGCCGCCTGGAAGCAGTCACAACGCTCCATTCAGATTGTTTATAGCTTGCATTGAACAAACATGGTACGCAACATATATTTAATGACCCACATTTTTATCGTAATGGTGTTGATGTTGTTATACTTACACCGCGAAGATCACAGTGGCCTTTGATTCAAGGGCATTTGAAGTGCAAACTATTTTTGTATCCAAGCTATTTAATCCAAGTCTTCCCAAACCATTTTTCCATTTTATTTGTGTTTACAAACAAGGTCTTTTAGGGGTGAGCGAGCAATACACATGGAATTATTGTGTTGTAGTGAGAAGCGTCTGCAACCTTTTGTCAAACTTAACCATGCTCACTTGCAGAGACGTGGAAAGACCAATCAAGTTTACCCTCTAACTGCATACTACAATCCATCTCCTGTGCAAACAAAATTGCAATAAAATATACACTTTTGGTAAAACTTGTTTGCTGCAATGGTTTTAAACACTGACTGTAGTAACTCTGAAACATATTCTCCACAATCAGCAAAATGGTAAAAACACTTTATTCATTCTCCTTCGTAAAAAGTTATAAAATTCAGCAGCTTGTACAAAACGTTGGCCCAGTTGGTGAAGCATACTGAACAATAAATAGAGTGAAGAATACACACGGAAAAGAATACAAAGTCGGGACAAGCGATAACTCATTTTTCTCCAGGAGAGGTGGACTGTCTTTTTCTTTTGTCCTTTTTTATGCCTATTTTCACTTCTGGATAAGAATGACAGTTCCGAGTTAGTGCTTGTCCCGTCTTCGTGTTCTTGTCTCTGTCCTTCAGGCTATTGTTCATTCAGCAGCTTGCATACAAGCTCTTGTCAAGAAACGCTTCAGCAAAAGCAACTCCCGTTTATCAAAATACCAACAAAGCTAAGAACATTCACACTGGATTTGCAAGGCAATGATTCTTGTACAACAAATGCTTATCACAAGTTGTTCCAAAGACAATGAAACTATACACTTTGAACGGTACATTTTAAGTTGAGCAAGTAGCACTTGGGAGAAAAATCAACAGCAAGCTGCCTTGAACAAACTGCAGTAAAAAGTGGCAGTGAGCTTGTAGATACATAAAGTAAGATCAACATTTTAAAAAATCGCTGGTCCATAAAACTTTTAAAAATTTACTTGTGCTATTCTTCCGTTCTTTTTCACTGAACACTTTCATATGGTTGTGGAATTCTGGCAAAGATCCACATTAAGGTCAACGAGCATCTGGAAACATTGCCAGAAGAGTGACTAAGCGTTCTTGAGTGCATAGTTGACGTCGTCCGTGTTGACGTTCAGCTGGATCTTGTAGAATAGGTCGTTGCAGCCCAGCTCCGCCAGGAGCAGACGACAGCTTGCCAGACGCGCACACACAGCGGATGCTTCAGAGAGGGTTGGGGGCTTGGCTCCTGCAGAGGTAAAAAGTCTTGACCTTAGATGGTTCGAGCTCAAAAGTGTAAAAAAAAAAATAAAGTAAAAAACAAGAATTAATGCAAAAGAACTTATAGTAGAAAGGACAAAGGAACTTTTCTGTGAAGTTTACCATAGGGCTAGCTAGTATTGCACCTTAATAAGCACACACACACACAAGCCTATGTGTCTTGTGTTCCTGTTTACCATTCATCAGGATGGAATACCATCTAACCCAAGTTAGAACTTTGTCTTCAGGGTTTGAAAGTGTTGAAATTTAGAAGAATCACCTTCCAGTCTACAGAGGGAGATGTGTTGCTGGTAGACGCTGGCGAAGGTTCCTTCTTCCACGCCCGTGCGCTCAAACTCCGCGACAACTGCACGCATGAAGAGCTGCTCCTGCAGCGCCAAATTTCTGCGAGACAATCGGAAAGCCAGCACTCAGAAACTCTCCTGCCGCAGCTGCTAGCACGCAACACTCTCGATGGTTCCAAATTGTTTCTACTAAACAGGCACTGACCATGTGTGAGAGTGACCAAACACGTTGGTAGAGGAAACACCTTTCTGAGGCTTTCGCATTTCTATATGACGGCCAGCAACTGAAATTCAAATGTAGGCACGCCTCGCTATTTCCATGTCGTCTAAGAACTAAGAAATTCTATGCATATCAAGTAATAGGGCTTTAGATAATTTCCCCACTTCTTGAAAGAAAAAGGAAATTCTCCCATACTTCACTCGTGTCGAGTCCAACTTACGGGCTAGGTTTTCCAAGTTGATTGACATCACAAGGCACGGAACACAAACTCCTGGAAATAATTCATCCACACAATCTTCGTTGCCTTTTACACGGACATACTAGCTAGGCCATCGAAAATTATGTTTTGTCAGTATACTACTAAGATCGCACCGTGGAAAAGACACAGACATCGGCTAAACGAATGTGCAATGTAAACTGGGAGTGGCTTTTGAAAGCTTACACACGTCTGTCTTTGTTCCTATCTGCCCCATGCATTCATTTAGTACAAAAGAAATGAAAAGGAACTAACGCAAGAAAATTTGGCAAGCACAACGAAACCACACTGCCGTGTGGACACAGTTTTAGAACTAGGGGGAATTGAGCATGCAGCTATGGTTCACGGTCGTATGAGTGTAGGAGGGGAGAGAGACTACATTAGCAAAGTTAACCATTATATTGCATGTATCATCCAGTTTACGAAGATGCATGCGTGACGACAGAAAAAAGAAATTGGTACTGTAGTTTGTTGGCAGGTCAAAGGACAAGGCCCCACCCACAAAGTTCTCGCGCTCGCCATGATTGGCGTTTTTTTTCTCTCTGCTTACCCCCGGTGCTCGCTCTGCTAAAGTGCTAAGAGTGGACGACTTAAGGCCCGTTCACACTCTTGTGACCACGTATGACCGAGAGAGACGAGATCTGTTAAAACTTTTCGAAATTTCTTAGGACAAGGGAACACACTGGCATTCTGGCGCCATCTATGTAGTGACCTTGGAACTACATTTCACAAGAGCAAAGGTTTCGTAGGATTTCAGATGTCAAACATGCGTAATACCTAGAAGAAAGGCTCGTTTATAACATTGACAAAAGTTTTCGAGCCAAGGATAAAAGGATAATGCACGAGAAAATTAGAAAATATGCCGGACCACCAAGTTTACACTGCTACCCAATAGATGGCGCCAGTGTGCTCTCTCGTAAGAAATTTTAAGGAACCCAGTTTTAAGAGGTCGCAAGAGTGTGAACGGGCCTTTAGTAAGAGGAGCTTTCCCTGCTTTTCTTAACTTGCAACAGACTAAAGATGCAGAATGCTGGAAAGCAGAAGAGGCCGAATGCATACTGCATTGCTATGATCTTGGGAGAGGAGAACATCTCCTGGATGGCTTGGTCTACATGTGCCATGCCCACGATGTGCCTTGACTTCTTCTTGGGGCTGCCTTGGAAGAAGAGCTCTGCGATCTCGGCCGCCCGGCGACAGATGTCTAAGGCACGCCTCGCGTCTCCAGACACTGCTGCCACCTGCAGGGGCATTTAATAAACGCCCGTTGGAAATGATGGCATATTAACATGCATAGCGTTCTGCACGTGCTCAGGTGTTTTCTTTTGAAATATCTCGCAGCCAGGGGCGCAAACTACCGTATTTACTCGCAGAATGAACGCACTTTTTTTTCCGAAAAATTGATGCAAAGTTAGGGGGGGCGTTCATTACGCGAAGTAAAATTTTTTCGTCCGTATTTACTCGCATAATGAACGGACTTTTTATCACGAAAAATCAACGCAACTTCTTATCTCTTTGCGCGCGGCGCGCGTCCCGCAACCGAACTGGGCTGTGCAAAAAAAGAAAAAAAAAAGCTCCTCTTGTCTTCTTTTTCATAGTTCCTTTGGTGTTTTTTTTTTTCGCCTGTTTTTCGCAAGCTGTTTCGTTTGCTTAGGCGAGTGCTTTTCCGCTTATCTTTCTTATCTCCTTGCGCGCGGCGCCCGACTCGCGACCTCCCCCCCCCCCCTCCGTAACCAAACTGCGCTGTGCAAAAAAAAAAAGAAGAAAAGCTCCTCTTTGTTTTTTTCTTTTAGTTCCGTGGGTTGTTTTTTTTTTCCTCTTGCCGCCTTTCGCAAGCTGTTTCGTTTGCTTAGAGGGCTTCTCCGCTTCTCTTTCTTACCTCCTTGCGCGTGGCGCGCGACTCCAAAGTCCAGACGGCGCTGTGCAAAAAAAAAAAAAAAGTTTTTTTTTTTTTTTTTTTTTTTTAGTTTTGTGGTTATTTTTTTTTTTTTGCCTCCTTTCGCAAGCTGTTTCGTTTTCTTAGAGGGTTTCTCCGCTCCTCTTACCTCCATGCGCGCGGCACGCGACCCCGAAGTCCAGACTGCGCTGTGCAAAAAAAAAAAAGCTCTCCATGTTTCTTTTTTCTTGCTTCGGTTGGCTCTTTTTTAATTTTTTTAACGGCTTTTGCAAGGCGTTTTGTTCGCCCATGCTGCCCATGCATTCGCGACCTCGCTGCACCAGGATAGAAAAGTGCGTTCATTTCGTGCGCGTGGGGGGAGGGGGTCAAATTTTTGACGTCGGAGTTGGGGGTGCGTTTATTACGCGGGTGAAAAAAAAAGTCGAAATTTTGTGAGCCGACTTGGGGGGTGCGTTCATTACGCGAGTGCGTTCATTGTGCGAGTAAATACGGTAGTTCTTGAGTATTGCACATTTTGATCAGCGTGCGAGATTTATCTGCGCGATCAACTTCTTCATCTCTAGTGGTTGACACAGGAACGGCTAGTAAATTACGCAGCCAATGAAACCATCTTTTACACACCAGGGTCGTGCACTAGATAGTGTTTGCGATGGGAATGGCCACATATATGCTAGTCATACAGTAACTACGGTGTTGCTTAAAATCACACTGATGGAAGTTCTTGCACCTTGTCTAGACAACTTCCTAAAAGCGTTGTTGGTTCAGAATCGCCGATCAGTTTTAACAATGCACTACTTAAACGCTTTTTTGTTGAACAGTTGCCTGCATTGCATTGCTGTGCTTTGATTTCTTGTGGTAGGTATTTCCTGCCTTAGTATTTACTATACAGGAGGCTGGCAGTATAGACATACTGTATACTAATTAAATAAAGTGGACGTCGTAATGCTTACCTTCCTTGCAACCAATTGAACGGCATCGGGATCGAAAGCTTCAAGATCCTGCATCCTCGACAGAACAATCTCCTGGAGCTGCTTGTGGTTGTATGGATGAAAGGTCATACGCGTGAGCCCCTGCAGAAAAAGAAAGACAATTGTATGCAAGCTGTAACGATTAGCACTATAACACCAAACAGGGTGAGGTCAGTGGAGCATCACTGCCCATTATCTTAGTGCATGCTCTAGGCATTAAAGGGGCGGTGCAACGATTTTATGATTAAAAAAATTTTCATCTCGTAATTTTTACGTTGTTTATCGTGTCCAAGAGGACAGAGAAAACACCTCCTTCATTAAAAATGTCGCGATTCCGCTGCATAATCGCAAAGCAAAAGTTGAGCTTTTTCCCCCCCCTGCAGCCCCAAGTGGCAGCCGAAGGAACTGCGGCAAAAAGATTATGTGACCTCGCTCGGCTCTAAGTTGCAGCCTAACGCCCGCTAATATCAGTAGAGAGAGGGAGAGGAAGCGTCCTCCGAGAGAGCACGTGGGAACTTACACGGCACTCCGAATGAAGTCACTAGGAGGGGGACCACGTGTGACCCTGAAGGCTGGGAGTGAGTTGAGGGGTACCCGAAATGCCAATCTTTATCTTTTTTTTTTTACGCAACAACTAGGACACGCAAACGAAATTGGTTGTCTGTTCTTTACTTCAGAAGTGTCGAAGGCCAACTTCCAGAAACCTTTGACCAAAATCCGGAAATCGTTGCACCCCCCTTTAAGGCTCTCGCTACGATTTATGAAAAATATTCCAAGATTTTCAGTGACACGCCAAAGGTTTTGAGGACTCGAAAGCCATTGAGTCTGCCATTTTAGGAGCAACAGCCCTCAAAAGGATATTTTATCTCCTCACATTACTTTGCTGGTGTAATGTTTGAATGCAAACATCAATGCTTCTTTTCACATCTTCACTAATGCCTCACAGTCTTTGCATTTTGCATAGCTTCTTAAAAGTGTGACATTGAGAACATGTTATTTCTTCCTTATGCCGCCAATTTCCCCTTCAGCGAGGTACCTTTGTTTGAAGCGACGTATAGAATCATTCATAGGTCACTAGCAAATTGGTACGCTACAGCGCGCATTAAATGGCCTCGTCTAGCTTGGACCCTACTCCAGACAAGGTCTGCCGTATTAGAGTACAGCACAAGGGGCTCAATTAATATCCCGTTTAAAGGTATCGAACAACACGTACGCTACAGTTGCTGACAGAGAGATCGGCGTGTCCTTAAAATGCCCGGACTGCAACATGTGCTCCGTGCCTTTCGCAGTGCTTCAGCCGTGCTCGAGGTGCACGGGACGCCAAAGATAGACTTGCTACAATTCTCCTATTGTCAGCAACTAAAGCTCGTCTTTACTGTCTCTTATCTTCACCACGTGCGAGTCTACTTCACTCAAGGGCGAAGGTGGCGAACTCACCAGACGACTGGACACGCGGTTGGACATGAGTCTTTCGGGGAGGTCCATAGTGTTTGCGATGGTGAGAACAACGAGCCTGGAGCCTGGCCGGGAGGGCCATTCAAACAGGTTGTACATGACCTGCTGCTTGCGCGTCCACAGGAGGTCCAGCTCGTCGACCAGGAGCACCACGGGCTCGCGCTTGGGGCCGCGACTCTCGAAGCGGCGTCCCAGGAGGTCCGCAGCGTGCTCCGCCGTCGCCGTTTCCCCCGTGAGTGCCTGTCGAAGTAAAAAAAGCACACACCAAGTAAGCACCTCTTTACGAGTACAGAGAACAAACTACCCACTGAGTGAGCACTTATTAGTAAGTACAGAGAACAAACTCAAACTTTGAGCCGCAGGCATCTGCTCGTACATCCTACAGGAGACGCGGCAGTTGCTGCGGACACGACGACATGCCTCAAGCAGGTTCGAAACGTGTTTGCTTCGAGCACGTGTCTGCAGGCAGTTTGTGTACGACCTGTGTGAACCGTCGTAGGAGAAAGGAACACACCTTGGATAGTGTGGGCACGCTGTCTCTTGCAGACTGCGGCTTTAAAGAAGTCTCTGCACGTTTGTTATGCGTACGGGGTCAACAGAAAATTAATTTGCAACCTCAACAAAGCAAATCTCTTTACGAGTGGACAAGAAGAATAAGGAAGTGCTCAAATTTGTACTAGTTTGCAGCCATGTAGGTACGAAAAACTAGGAAACGATGCAGATTGGAAACTTCCAAAGATGCGTGATGGTCTATCAAGTTACATGCACAGGCACGTCCAAATTGTAAAAACGAAAGAGGGATATATAGAAGACAATACAAATGACACAATTGTCCGTATTGTCTTCCATGCCCCTTTTGTTGGTTGCTAGGTTGCAGAAGCTGCTACCTGATTTAGTGGGTTCAGCTGTATGCATCCACATCTATCCATCCGTTTGTGCTCTTTGGTAAAGTGGGGGGGACAAACCTTGAGGATGTGGCTGTAGCACTGAAAAGGCGTGGTCAGCTTCATGCCGTTGACCTCCACGAATGTGAAGGGAGGCAGGGAGCCACTGTCGACAGACTGCTGAAGCACTCGAATCACATCGTGCACAGTGGCTGTCTTGCCTGTGCCAGGAACTCCTGAGATGTACATGCACCTGTCCCCAAGAAAGGAGATTGCCTGAGAAACGATTGCCAGTCAAATGTTCGTACGAAGCGATGCTTTGGTCGAATTAATTGCCAACAAATTCTCCACACAATTGAATGAGCTGACCATACCATCATTGGGCTACTTTAAAAAATAATTGAAACTCGAAAGCTCGGGGAATGAACCCAGCCGCAAAGCTCAGAGATTTTCTCTCTGTTCATATACGGTTACAATGCAACATTGCAATTGCTACCAACAATGCCAATGCTGGTATGAAAGGTACACCGTGTACCACACTGGGTAGGTGGGAATCTTACCCGCCTGTGCCGTCTTGGAGCTTGCCGTCGATGAAGGAGTAGATGTCGGCAAACTCTTGCTCGCGGCACGGGAGGCATTCTGGCACAGCTGACACATGAAGCCTGTCGTTTGGGGGGAAATAAAGGCACTGATTTCCACAATTACACTTCATGGCTAGATGGACCGAGACAGTTATAGTTCTCTTTCAGTCCGGCCAAGTTAGAACTTGGGACACATTGTGGCTGCGAATGATTAAATGTGTTATTGTCCGCTGCATCTGAATGCTGTCTGAAACCTGTTTTGCCGAGGAAGGAAACTTTCATGGAGTATAAAATCTGTACTTCGGAATACATTCTTTGATTAGCGAAAACTTGGATTGACCCAGCATGTTGAAAGGCTATGTCGGGCCAACCAAAGCTGCTTAAAAATGCTGATGGCATTACGCTGAATTGAAAAAACCTGCGCTCCACATGCAGAGCATCTTGGTGAAGCAGCCATAACGGGAGTCATTGGTGCCACATCTTCCATGCACGAAATCAAGAGGAAACTGCCAACATTTGCACATGCGTTTTAACTGTAACTAACAGCGGTGCGTGAAGGCCCCCACGCCTGGTCTCGCAGAAGAACATGTCACCACCAAACAAAAGTGCAAACCAATTTGTATTAGCTTGAAATGCCTCATGCAAGAAACATGCAAAAGGCTTGTGAAAAGGATATATCAAAACAGACCACTGTCTCGTTTTAAGTGTTTTATCGTTATAAGTTAGCCTGGTCAAGTATTTTCAGTCCTTGTGTTCACTGTAGTGACTCTCCACTTCCGGAAAATAATGGTGCCATCTTTTTTCTCTTTACCCCCCACTTTTTATTTTGCTCCCACCTTCATTCCTCATGCTGCCATTGAACCTCCATAACTCATACTCAACAACCGCATGCAAATCGTGGCAGAGTGCAATGCATATGTTCAAGATGAATGTCATGACAATGAACACGTACAAAGAACGCGGCTTGGAAGGACACACTCACCTTAACTTTGCAATGTCGAGCGGCGTCTGCCGAACCGAGATGACGCTTTCACGTCTCGGAAGGGACGGCGTCAACGTCGCCGTCGATTTCCGCGCAGAGACTGGTGTCGTGCGAGCCGACGGTTTCTTGCCGCTTCCTCTCCTTTGCACCGATCTTCTGGAAACCTTCTTCCCCACATCTTCAAAGTCACTGTCATCCGAGGAGCTCGTATCGACTGCCTTGAAAACGGTGTCATCGTCGTCGTCACTCGTTTCACATTCCGGATTGGAGGCAAGCTGCAGCCGTTTCGGCTTCTCTCCCATGTCGAGCTTACGTCTGCTCACTGGCGTATGCTGCTTTGACCTTTCACTGGAACGAACAAGTCCAAAGATGTACGATTTTAAGAACCAACAAAAACAAAGGTGCACTTAAGGTGGTTATAGTTAAATATAGTGACCTTACCCGAGATTGGAGTTTTACTACAGGGCGAAACAAACACATAGAAGTTTCAAACTCAAAGGAGGCATTTATGTGTTTGTGACGTCCTGTAGCAAAACCCGTCTCGCGTGAAGTCGCCATGTACAAGAACCACATTGTGTCGCATGTCTGAGATTTCAATGACTGCCTATATAAAAGCTGTAACATGAATGGCAGGGTGCTGAGCACTATAGAAGGAATATAAATTTCCATGCAATGTGGCACATCTCCATCTTAGTGGCAAAATTTACCCGTGCACAGTACTCCCTCGAGCCACTTCACTGCAGCACATTGGCACGTGTAGAGAAGCACCTCTCACAAGTAGGCAAGAACAAGCGTGCACAACCAAATTTTGCTACAGAACGTATTGACACTTGGAACTATACAACTTAATGCACCACATGAGCATATGCATAAAACAGATTTGACCATTTTAACAGAAAAGTGTTAATCTCGCACGCGTTTCTTCCGAGAATACGGAGATTCATTCCCTTTTCTCACCGATTCTAGGTTTAAGCTGCAACCATACGCTAAACTTCGAGGAGTGATAGCCATGTTTTGCGACCGGCAGAGGGTCATCGTACCAACACGAAGTAGGGCAGGACAAACTCACCGGGTAAACACTTCGTCATCGCTTTCATCCAAAGAAAAATCGAGCGAGCGGTGGATGCTCTTCAGCTTTCGACCCGATCGTGAGAATTTGGGCGGTTCTCGGCGAGGCGTGTCGTTATCCAACGCTCTCGTTCCAGGTTCAGTCAGGCACCTCCTGGCTCTCGTTCCACGGGCACGCGTTGGAGTGACAAACACGTTGTCTTCAAACTTGACGCTTTTGGATGGCGATCTGCAGAAATAGAATGGTAATACAATGAAATATAGTCGTTGAGCTCATTCCATTTACCTGCACCTCCTGCACCAGCTGCATTTGCTGCACTACTGGCTGTAGTATTCGGTTTACGAGTGCAATCTATCTTAAAACACAGCCGGAAGTACATTGCCCTGCATTCTTATGCACCGTGCTACACTTATCTTTACCAATGCAGGCTGGTGCAGGTACATCAAATGAGCCCACTAATGTCTTCACAGCTAAGCTATAGTCGGTGATAGGTTAAAAGTTCAAGGAAGGCTCCTCCCACCTCTTTCCACTTTAGCAGCAAATGCTGGAGAGAAGGCAACCTCCTCTCCATAGTTCGCCCTGCTCAACTGCTAAAAGGTGGAAAGAGTTTCCCCTGAACTCCTAACTTGTGACCGACTATAGTCAGTCACGCATGTTAATGTGTGCCTGATAGAACCTCTCTATTCGCAACTCCAACGCCCTATAGCTGGCAGGGCGGTAGTTCCAAGATGGCAGAAGAGACAGGAATAGATTCTCCAGGATTTCCCAAGCGCCTGCTTGCTGACGCTGGTCAGTGCGCTAAAAATGATTGATTTGTCTACAAATGCGAAGTGGTTAGGGCAGGACCATATTACAGGTCATGGAGCATGCCGATATCTAAAAGCTGCAGAAACCTCAACATGCGAGCTTTGTGGTGGGCAAGCGCGTTTTAGGCCCTGACCACATCACTGTTTGTGGCCATTAGTGCTCTAAAAAGTGAGCCGCGCACGGTGACCGTTCAGCTTCGGAAGAGCAGCATTCACAGTATAATGTCTCCAAGTCACAGGCTCGCAACTCGCTCCTCACTGTCTCGGTTGGTGTATTGCAACACGTGATCAAACTGCTTTATGGTTGTTGATGGGAAGTTTGTTACCGGAGGCTGCCGTGCATTACAACCAGAAGATTGTGCTGTGCCTCTGAAGCACAATTTTCACCGCGCGCCAGGAGTGTTGTCGTGCTCATGGTAGCCAACAATAGCCTGCGGTAACGCTATGCTAAAACTGCCTATTACCATAATCGGCGTGTTTAGGGGTTTCATTTATTGCTCTATCAAAAGTATCCAGTTTAATATATTGTACATTCTTTGTACCATGTTATTTGCAATGTTGTGGCCCCTCTCACCGAAACTGCCAGTTCTAAGCTCTTGTCGCGAATGGCTGGCTAACACAGACGCACTTAAAATGCTTCGAGCATTTCTTTATTTGCTTTGTAATTACCTGAGAGCAAGTATGCACATTCTGTTTTTTGAAAGTACTTGAAAGAAATGGTCGTGTTTTTTGCAACGGCCTTAACACGCGAACCCATTCTTGATGTGTGTTGCTCGACATACTGTTGCGCGACAAGTTTTCTCCTACTTACGGCACAGAATAGACTTTTCGTAGACCGCATGCTAGAGCTCTACATTACTGGTAAGAGCGTTTGCGACACGTTGAGCCCGGATTGAATTGGCGACCATGCAAAAAACCGGAAATCCGCAGCGTATGTGATATACAAAAAGTCCTTAATGAAATTAGACATCCCGGTCCTTCAAGCAACGCTGTTGCAAGGTGGAGCACAAGGATTCCTACTTTAACGAGCTCACTTTTTTCGTTAAAATGGCTACAGGCATTAAGATCGACAGCCCCTGCTACTGTCCCCGCTCCTCTGGTTCCCCATTCGTCCACGAGAGGGCGAGCGGTAGACTGGAGTTGCGAATAGGAGGAAAGATGTAGTGAAGCAGAGTTGAACTACGCCTGCAACACTGGTACTGTAAGCATTTGAGGTGCCGATATAAAAAACATACTTTCGTTTCAGTTCAGTTTAATAATCCTCAAAGGCACTTCAATGAAGAGCATTACATAGGGGGGGGGGGGTCAGTACAAAATATTAACAGTGCAGGTTACTGATGTACGTATTAGAGTCGATGCCTCGAAAAACTGGCTTCACTATGAAGGCTCTGCCATAAATATGCAATGCCTTATGGTTGTGTAATAGCAGTTAGCCCTAAATGAAGGAGTAAAATAAGATAAATATCTGTATATTGAAACAACCCCTTTGCAAATAAAAGGTTTCTTTTTTTATTCCCTATCATGTGCATCTGATTCCACAAGAAAATGTGCACTACTGGATGTTTGTGATTCAGCAGCAACTATAGGAGCCTGTCATAAGGCACACAAAGATTGTGCTGATAGAGTCAGCAGTTGGTCATTGGTACTCTCCCTGTGCAACAAAGAAGAACCAATGGAAAAACTAGGTATTCACTAAATTGGCGTCGCCTATATGAAGGGTGATTTTAGAGCGCAGCTCTTAGGCGCCCGTTTCCGGCTTGAGTGGCGTCGCCGTCGGCGTTACCAAGGTCACCCCGAGGTCACGCGACCCCCCCCCTCCCCCCAAGGTCACGTGACCCCCCCCCCAGAGCATATTAAAGAATAAGGGGAGGAGGAGGAGGAGGGGTCTACCCTCCCTCCTCCTCAAGGGCTGTGCTCCAATTCGGCGTTACAGGGAGTTGTAAACGGCTTTCACTTTTTTGTTCCTAAACATTTTGCCTGTAGGTCTCAGTAAACAGTCAGGGGCTTTAATCTTATCTGTCCTGAAACAAAGATGCAAGGAAGGAGCATCATTAAATCCTAACATAAGCTGAGAGCACAGTATCCATGGCAATACACATCATGCATAAAGCATCACCAAATCCTTCATACAGCGGCAACAAGGGACAAGGATACAACAGGATTCAAGAAAAAACGACAACCATTCCCTTTGCTGATTTCAAGGTGGATTAGCAAAAGGCTACCACGAGGATTAAATGCAGCTGCAATGAGTGTGAACACAATTTTAGTGCTTTTACACATTTTACTTCGAAAGGGTACTGGTGGGCATCAACATTTACCACTTAGGAGAGTACCCCAACTGGGCACTTTCCACCACTATAGTTGTTTTGAAGACAGTCCTTTCACACAAAGAGAAACACAAAAAAAAAAAAAAAAAATCAACATTGATGGTTTCTTTACGCTAATAGCGTCGTGGGGTGTATGTCTTGCGAGCAATGTTTGTATGGTTTCTGCTACACACACGCACCTTTGGTTTTCTGCCGTGCCCTCCGAAGGCAACCTTTTCGAGATGCCTCTGCTTCGGTCGGCCGGTGTTTCCTTGCAGTGCCGACCTCCTGTCGGCGTCAAGGGCTTTGAGCAGTTCCAGCTTTGGTTCTCCCTCTTGACCTTCAGCGGAGACACCAGCCGCACCTTGCTGGGGGATGTCTCAGACTTCTGGAGACTTGCAAGAGCCAGGAGAGGGTCGTCTGCTCCTTGGACTCTGCAAGCGACACGGCTTCCAGTCGTCTGCTCCCCAGACTCGGGAAACAGGCTCCTAGAGCTTTTACATTTCCCTGCAGGAAATAACGACAACGAGAGAACACAAAGTGCTGAGAGAGGTCAAATTGATGCCTAGAAAACAAGCAAGCTCGTCACTGTCCATCTCCAAGGTTTCCCAAATTGAGGAATACAAAAGGAAGCAGAAACTCTTTCAGGTTGTTTCTAAGGTGAATAATGAATGAGAAATGAAGCCTCCTGCCCATCAAAGTGGTGCATCTATGTGCAGCTTGCTTGCCAAGCCAATTTTTTAAACATAGTCTGTCTTCCAGACTTTCCAAATAATAAACCTGGTGCAAAACATGCAGTGCCCCCAAGAATTCTGGGAACTGGCTGTACAGAACCAGCTGTAACAGAAAACAAAAGTGAAAGCAGGCTTGCAACTGCTTGCTGAGCCACTTTCTAAACAAAGTGTGTGTTCCAGACTTTCTTAAAAGAGCTGTTGCAAAACATGCAGTGCCCCAAGAATTCTGGGAACTGGCTGTACAGAACCAGCTGTAACAGACGACAAAAACGGGGCAGGCACGCAACTGCACTAACTTCTTTCTTGCTCTCTTTAGTGTCACAGTGTATATGCTGGGGAGCAAGGACACGACATTCCCATAATTCAATGCACACTTTGCTGTTGTCATTTTGGATATTTGCAATTGGTCAATTGGAGAGGAATCTTTATTATAACCTGAATTCAGTAATCTTTTTTTAGAATGTACAGGTATTCATTGAAATCAGGTCCCATGCAAGAACATCTAATCGTAATTTTAAATGACAGAGGCAGGCAATTTCTTAGGCATGCTTTCTCTCAATGATAATGGTTTGCTACAAAAGTATTTGAGTGTAGAGAGAATATAACTACTCTGCAAATGAAAAAAAATCAGACATAATACGTACCGGTTGACCGTGTCGAAGCGGTCATCTCGAAGTCTGCAAACCGTGAAGACGACCTCGGTGTTCTAGAGGACCTTTTGCGGCCGGCAGACGAAGGCGTTCCAGTGTCAATGGCAGGCACGACTGTCCTGCCATTGTACCTCCAGCGGCAGATGAAGAGCGGGTTCCCTTGTGCATCCGTCAGTTCAAACACAAATTCGGGCAAGATGTCGGGATTCAGCATCAACACCTAAAAGAGGACAAACAGTTACCTCATACTTTCTCAAGGAATGGTGCAAACCGAACAATAAAACCGTGCAAATCTCTGGTACCTGTATGGTACCAGAGATTCTGTATGGAAATATGTCTAAGCAATGCATAGGCTGCAGCAAAGTGCCACCACCCATCATTGTTGACGCATGGGGATTGTGATCAACAGGAAACTCACCTCCCAGCCGATAAAAGCACACTCATAATAAGAAGACAGACGATGGAGAAGTCAACTATACAAAAGCAATACAATTGCATCTGTCTCATCTAGATACTTTGTAAATGTAAACCTGGAGTGGCGAAAAGCTTGTTTTGCGGACAGTTTGTCCTGAAAAACGTCGAACAATCAAGCACAAAAATACAACCCAGCAAGCATGCATAATTCCGCAGACGTCTCCAGTACGTCCCAACGTTAAACGGGTGTCCTGTGGATGCATACAGGACAGCCGTGCTCCCCAAGAAAGAAAGGGCAAGAGGAGAAAAGAGTGACAGAGGACGCTGCAGGAGAAGAGTGTAACGTGCTTCAGCTCACAGAGCATTTTCCAAAGATGGTTTCGATGTCGACCGTGTCCGCCCATGCGGACCTCTCGTCCAGGAGTACCTCCCGGAAGTAGTCACAGTGTCCAAGGCGTCCCTGCTGTGTCGGCGGCAGCTCCGTGACCCTCAGGTACCACTGGACTGTCACAAAGCGGTGGTCCTTGCTGAGGTCTCCTGCAACGGTGGGTAGAGAGGACAGGTAAACGAGTCTATTTTCTAGCAACAAAATTTACTAGTGAAGATTGTATTGCACAAAGGCAGCGTTAAAACTTATAGCTGAAAAGAAAGAAAAAATAAACAAACAAATACAGCGGTGGATTATTTGGTCTAATGGTGTTATGTGGGGTACAGTTCCATCAGAAGTGCAGGGCTATAACAAGGAAACAGAAATCAACTTAAGTCAACCGCACAAATCATACATGAATCAATTGTTGAGTGGGACAGAATACGGACTTCTATCTACATGCTACTACAGCTACTACAGCTGCAATTAATAATTTTTTTTTTTGACGATTTTCATTGGAAACTACGATAGCCGTAATTGTAGTATGATGAAACCACAACTTCAAGGAACCTTCATACATAAGGTGTCACCATTTTAAAATTTCGATTAGCGACATTTGTTTCATGAGCAGGGTGTTGGGGTGCAAACTAGCTGGTAAAGATTAGGCATAACACAAACCCATGACGGCAAGTAAGCAAAGAATGAATATAGGTATGTGTTGCCCTTTGCTTGCATGCAGTCTTGGGGCTGTGCTATGTCTCATTTATTTTATGCTTATATCTGTTGCTATGTTAAACTTTTGGGCAAGACAATTCGAAGCAAACATGTGGGCTCCTGAGGCTAATACCCGCCAACCACGGACAGAAATGTTTGGAGCCATGCTGTCCTTTGTCACACTGTAACTATGCTACTAATTCTTTACTTGCTTCACTACAAGAAAACACCCTGCAGGCTGTTTGTGCAAAGACTCGCTGAAAATATATGTTATTTTAGTCAGTTAGTTTTGCTGTTAGGTAGGTAATGTTCAGAATAAAGAACAACGCGTCGGTTGTCAACTTTTTGACCCGGCCGAAGGCCATTCCAACGATCTCTTTAACTGCGAGTGGCCATCGGTTAAATCTTTACCGGTGTCAAAAGCGTTCTTGATTCGGCCCACGAAGCAGTTGCGCAGTTCTTCGGGGTCCATACTGTCGTCATCTCGAATCAGCACGCAGTCACCAACAGCGTATTCCGTGCCCGAAAGCCGAAACTTGCTGGAAACGAATAACAAAAATTGTTAATTCATTTCAACGAAGAAAGGGGGAAAAAAGGCAGCAAGCTGGTAAATTGCGCCCGTAATTAACTATATAAAAAAGGTCAGAGCAACAAAGTTTTAATCCAACGATCATTGGGACATTGTTATTCTGTCCGATTTTTCTTTTTATTGTTTCTGTCTAGGGTTTACTATGAATGCCATTCAAACCGAGAAAAAAAATGTTACGCTTTACGCAGGTTTTAGGGTCATTAAAAGTAGCATCAATACCAAGTTCTCGTGTTTTTCAAGACGGGTAACACAATTTCCACTGGTTTTAGTGAACTAAATGCCAAAGTTAGGGATCGGACATGTTTAAAGGGCCGGTACCCTTGTGGAAGGGGCCACGCTTCTATTATCTCTACTTAACAATATTTACCTGTAGCATCTGTGCTTGGATCGCCTGTCCTGTATGGTGAAATCACCAATCCACGCGAAGTCAGGAGGCGTACCGGACGAAAGTACCATGGTCGTTCTTTTGCACGAGCGCTAAAACATTCTCCGATCAAAATTGCTACGCCTGCCACCCCGATCACGACGCGGTTTATTTGTGGCGGGAAAACGAGCTCCGGCGGGGACGCTTCTCAAAAAGCTGGTACGGCACAAAACGAAAATCACAAAAAAATTTCAGGAAATGCAGCATTTTAAGCACATATTTGTTTATAACATGACTCACTATATAAAATAAATGATATTTTAACATAACATGTTGAGATATAAATTTATTATAATTAAAAAAATTATAAAAAAACAAAACGAAAGAAGAATGGCGCGGATCTGGTTTTCATTCGGGCTGCACTGTGGAGAAGTAAACGCTCTGTGGGTGGCGACATGTTTGTGTCTTGGAGAATGTTAATTTTAAAGGTGGTTTGAACGCTGGAACGTGCTCTAATGACATCGAATGAACTGTCGCAAGCATGTAAATGTGCTCCTCAACTAGTCTCTTACCTCACGAGCCTTCATCAGCGCACGTAAGCGACTCAAAATCACATGTGTTTTTGTTGTGGCATGCTCACTAAAGCTGTCAGACGTGCTAAGTGAACGACCGCTGACTTCTTAGAACCAAAACGCGACTGTTATATTTTCAAAGAAAAAAAAAACAATTTAAAATGTTCGTTAACGATAATTCATTATCGTGTTTCAATCCGACAGGTTTTCGCCGCTCCTCCTTTGCTTCTTCATAAACACAAACAGATGAGGAAGGGTCCATGTGTGAATATCTTACAACAGCAATGTTTACAGTGATCTGTTTCACGCGAATTCTAAAATGTATCGGCGCGACTTGCTCGTAACTCATCTTGAGAAGCCTACGAAACACTTTTTTTTTCTATTTTTATTATTATTGTTTTACCACACGGAGCGATAAGACAAATGTCGGGGTTTCAAGTTCGGCGCTCGCCTGAAAAGCGTCTTCCCCTCACGGCAACCCAGCCGTCCTGGCAAGCCGCTGTTTGTTTTTCTTTTGCAAAGCGCAACACGCCGCTCCCTCGGCGATGATTTGATATTAATTAGCGGTTATCGGGATTTTTAATGTACTCATTTATGTTTGCATCCCGAATAGCTTTTATCCTTTCCGCGATGTTTAAGCTGTTCTCTAAAATGTGTCCAACGTCAAATATACATATTCCTGGAGCCTATTTGGGTCGGTCGTAGTCGCGACCAAGCTTAAATTACGGTGTTTGAAAACTAACTTTTAAAAACGCGGAGGAGTTGCCAAGCTTCAGCTACTTTAGTCCGTTTCATAATAAGCATCAATAAGGTAGTTTAGTCGGCTGCTGTCGGATGGAGCGTGTTGGGCTTCTGAGCACGCGCGGTAGATTTTTTTCTTCTGCTGAGTATGGGGAGACCTGCGTCATCCACACAGTGACTCATCATTTTTCGCCCGGGTGATACATAGTCGAAGTACTCGTCGGAGGAGGAAGGCAGGGCGTGCTGAGCCCATCCGCAGAAGTGTTGAAACTGGGCCAGTTGGTACTAATTCATAATTAAAAATTCTACTTGTCTTTCTTTTTTCGTCATTTTTTATTGCGCGCTGTTTTTCCTTACAAATAAACTGCAAGATAAGATTTCTTGCGGGAGGGTGAGCATACGTGTTTGCCTCGGCAGACGCAGGAATAAACCCTCATTGAAGCGTGTCGCTTGGCTCCCAACTCCAGACCCCGTCCTCCGACAGGTCCTCCCCTGGTCTGTGTGTAGTGTGTATACGCAGCGGGAAACGTGTCAGTGGAGTGAGCCGCCGGCCCTAATGAGGCGCTTTATTGCGACCCAGCCGCCGCGCACTTAGCACCAAATCTGACTCTAATGCGCGTCGGCCTTTCGTACGCCCTCTAATTTTTGAGACAATCCTCGAGGCGTCGACAGCCGTAACGGGGGAGCTCCCCCTTTTCGCTTGTCGCCCGCATCACAAAAAAAAAAAGTGAAAGCCGTTTACAAGTCCCCGTAACGCCGAATTAGAGCGCAGCTCTTGAGGAGGAGGAGGGAAGGGCACTTGGGGAGGGGGGGAGTCAACTGGGACCGGGGGGGGGGGGTCACGTGACGATGACAATGCCGATGATGTCATCAGTGACGTCACTGATGACTTCATCAGTGACGATGACGATGCGGATACCGATGACGTCATTAGTGACGTCACTGAGGACGTCACCAGTGATGATGACGATGCGGATGCCGGTGACGGCATCAGTGACGATGACGTCATCGGGTTCACGTGCCCCCCCCCCCCCCCCCGAGGCCACGTGACCCCGGGGGGCTCGCGCGGTGCATTATGGGACATTTCCCATAATGCAACGCGCGGTTACGCCGACGCCGACGCCGCTCAAGCCGGAAACAAGCGCCTAAAAACTGCGCTCTAAAAAAAAAAAAAAAAAAGACAGTTTGCAGCAGACACTGCCTGAGGCATTCCTTGTATCACATTGGTCTTACAAAAATTTTCTGCGGACATATTCGAAAGCAAATATGCTCGGAAGATGCTCGAGCAGTGCCCGCAAATAATTCTGTCGTCGTGTGTACAGCCAACACAGTGTCTTTTGCGTACGTATGAGCAGAGGCGAATGCAGGAAATTTCTGAAAAAAGGGGGGGGGGGGGGGGGGTCAGGTGTTGGTCAGCGTACCATATGTTTAGGAACCTCCTCTCCCTCGTTCCACGCCCTAAATTTTACACATGCAAAAATCAAGAGAAAAGAGGGGTCAGGACATCCGGACCCCCCCTCTAAATACGCCCCTGCGTATAAGCTGTGTGATTTGATTGCAGCTGAACGCACCGTACGTAGCCTGGAGCACGTAAAGCGAAAGCTCGCGCTGCAGAACCTAGGGATCTTGGCAGTGGCGTAGCCAGGATTTTATTTGGTGTGTGAGTGTGTGTGTGTGTCTGAGGTAAAAGGTGGAAGGGGGGGGGGGAGTCTTCGACCCCCCCCCCCCCCCCCCCCCATTGTCTACGTCACAGGATCTTGGTCTCCATGGAAACAGGCAGGGCCCTTGGGTTCTTTCTGCTGCTCGTGCTGCAAAACCCAGGGACTCTGCCCGTTTCGATCTGGATGAGTACCGGCTTGCGGTCGTGTATCGCTACAACCCGGGGCATGTTGAAGACCCCAGGCTAGCGGTCGTATTGCACTGACTAAGTTTCTCATTTAGCGTAAACCGGTGCCTACCTTACGCGGTCTAAACGCGGGCGTCTATTTTTTTATTTATACATTAATTGCATAAAAGAAATAATACCGTGGGCGCTTGTAGCACTTACTTCAGTGGAAAAAAAAAAGAAACTACGTGTTTGCTAGAAAGACCGTTTTTTTTTTTTTGTTTTTCTGCATCTGCATCTGCATCTGCATCTGCGTCTGCATCGCCACTTCGATTCCTGCTCCTACCTGACCCGTATTTCCGTCGTTGCACCCCCCCCCCCCCCCCCCCCCTCTTTTCTCTTTCTATTCGATTGTACTTTTAGCACGTGGAAAAACCTGACAGTAGGGGAAGCAGAGCAGGGGAAAACGCCGTGTTCCTTTTTTTTTTTTTTCTTCTGCTTTTTCGTTATCCAATGTTTATCTCTCGTGGTTTTCTCCGTATTTACGTAAGCCATTTTTATATGGCGCATCGGCTTTATTGAGTCGAGTTGGCTCGACTTTTCTTGGCTTTCGGTACATTTGCATCTGTGACTTCACCTTTCGTTCGTGTTGCCTCGAACCGGCTTCTGCTCTCGATCTCACGTAAAATTACATCGAACCGTTAGTCACGGTTAAGAAACGCAGGGCTATAGTGTTCACGGTTCGGGATTCGGTATTCAGCTTTGTTATCTGCTAATGCCCCGGTACCTCATGAGCTCCAGAGCGATAAGAAGGTGGCTGAGACTCGCCGTGCGTTTCCTGCTGCCGGCGATCGTAGGTGGGACTGTGGGTATTTCGCAAATTTTGAAACTCTTCGATGATGATGATGACGACGACGACGATGATGATGATGATGATGATGATGATGATGATGATGATGATGGTGATGGTGATGGTGATAAGAAGAAGAAGAAGAAGGAAAAGAAGAAGAAGGAGAAGAAGAAGAAGAAGAAGAAGATCTTTCTTTCCCACTTTCAATGGCGAAGACCGAGAAAAAAAATCCGCACAAAGCGGCTTGACGAGATCTGGGTGCCCAATGGCATCCTACAGCATAAGACAATAAAGATAAATAAGATAATAAAAAAAGAATTTAAGGTTAAAGAAAAATTAAACATAAATCTCGTAATTCATTCGTCGTTATTTTATTTAAGATAACATCATTCGAGTGAAAAGTATTCATCTGTTCGGATAATCCATACGAAATAACATTTATTTTTCCAAGATTTAGGCGACAACTGGCTACATTCCAGTGTTTCTTGGTTACGAAATTTATATTCGGAAACAAGTTGAGTTTAAACCAGGCAATTTTTGATTGTAAGTATCATTATTGAGCAGGTGATTTCTTATATCTTATAGAAAGCCTATAATCAGTTTCAAACCCGAAATTTTTTTAAACGTGACAAGTAACGGCAGTGAAACATACCGATTTCGTATTGACGCGCGCGCAGCTGGCCGAGTAGGCAGCGCGCGCGTGGCCTAACGGTTATCGCTCCTGCCTCCCACGCGAAAAGCCAGGGTTCGATTCCTGGGACCGACGTGCCTTTTGTTTATTCCCGCAATTTAGTGTTCTGGAAAATTCGAGAATCATGTTGGGCTTGTTCCAGGCCCGAATGTTCTACGCGTCGAACCTTCTATGCCGATTATTCCAGAAGCCCACGCGGTACATAAGGGGCTTCGCGTGGCGAGCCAGAGTCAGTCTCGCCATAGAGTAATATACACAAGGTAAAGAGCGGACACTACCATAGGCCCCAGCGGCCCAGATAGACCAGTGACAGGTAGCGCTCCTAGCGGGCGGTATTAAGTATAATCTGATTCCGTTTCCGGTCAAGTTAGTTTCGGTTTCGGTTTGGGCGTTTCTGCTCCGGTTCTCCAGCACCCTTCTCTCTCTCTTTCCTCCCCGCCTCGCTCGGCTCTCGGGAGCTCCTTGACTCTCGAAACCGCTGTTCTTTTCTTTTTTTTTTTTTTTTTTTTTTTTTTTTTAGTACTGACGCATTTTTGCTTTATTTTTTACGATATAGTCCGTGCAAAATGTGTCAAGCTATATTTCAACTTACTTCACAAAGCATAAGTATATATATTTGTTGTTCCTTTTCTTTTGTAAAACATTGAAGTTACACAATTGCCGCATTGACTGCTGGCTGGTGGAGCATTTCGGGGTCAACAACAGTAAGTGGTTCGAACACATTTTATTGGAGCATATTCATGTATACATGATTTACTTCTGAAGCTCTGTATGTTTTTTTACGAAAGAGATCGATACTCACAAAAATAAATAAATATAAAGGACTTCGGCATTTCGTACACTTCGTAATAGATTCTTAGCGGAACCAAGTTAGCAAAACATTTCCATGGAGAACATGCTGTATGATACATTCACT